CGGGTTGTAGGGTGTTGTGTAGCTCTCACCATACCATATACAGGTTGTAGGGTGTTGTGTGTAGCTGTCACCATACCATACAGGTTGTAGGTTATGATGGTTTCGTCCTTATTTAAAATTTGCGCTGTTTGTTTACATAAGTGAGTGCTGTGCCACACCCCGACACCCACAGTATCCACTGTCGTATTTGAGTTTTATATCATAATGTATCTGGACTTATATAAATCATCTTTCAAAGGTAGACGGGATGTCGCGGCCGAGGGTACACGCTGGGATCTGTTCATGGGGTTGCTAGTTCGCATTCAGAACTCCTCCAGTCCACTTAAGTGTGAATGGGCACCTAACTTTACAGATGGGGTTAGTGGACGTGGTCGAATGCAGTGCTGACCAAACTGCTTCCTTCACCGCTCTAAACATGGTCATCAAGGTGTGGGACTCGTTGAAAAAATGAAGTTCGGTGTGCCTCGTGTATGCGCTCTATCTCATGTGCTCTTAAGTCATGCCCTCCTCTATAAGCCTTATTCCAGTTCCTTACGTGGTCGTACGTATCATAACCTCGTCAAACTTTATAGCGGTATCAGAAAAGTTGTAATTTTCACGGTTCAATTAAATCCGCATCATGAAATACAAACCTGGTAGGTGTCGTCACTCAACCTCTGCCTCGTTGTACGAAGTATTAATATCTGTTACTAGTGACTCGGTGAAGACTTAAAACAATAAAACCTTTTTAATGTATCAGACAAATTAATATTTTATATAACACGGCAGAGGTGTAGAGTATCGTGGATAACTAGATTGTTTACAATATACAACACTTCCACGTCTAATAAAAAAAAACTAAAGGTCTAGCTATGACTTATCAGAATACTGTACTGTACAGTATATTTTTTATGCTCATTTGGGTCAGTCACACACCAAAATAACAACATTACGTCACACACTTACTATACACTGACGTAAATGGAGGAGCTACACACCCAAATTACGTAATAAATCTTGTAAACGGCCGACAAAACCTACATCGGGCCTGTCGCTTTTCTTGTAGATGGGCGTAACTCTGATTTTGAATGTCTAGAGATCTGCCCAATTGTATCTTATATGTAGAGTTATGTCTTTATAGAAGTATGGCTTCCATGATTGTATATATTATGAGAACATATGAGAGACTTAATAAGTTAAAGGAGCACTTTATAATCTTTGTATTTGAAGGTACGACTTACATTTATAAAGTAGTGTATCCTTAAAAAAATTTCTGCGGTAGCTGTACAAAAGAAAATTAGTTAAAATACGTTGGATAACTCAGCCATTTGAAGAATGCCACCTTTAAAAAAAATTATTTTATAAAAAGCCTTTCACGTGAGTATTGATTTGTATATAGGGAGATAGAGAAAAAAGAACATTTTATAGTGTTTTCTTATCAAATTTATATTTTTCCAGTTACAGTATTTAAACCTTTTTATTTCATTTATAAAATATTGGGTACAGTCAGCACGAAGCCTCGCTTGGCATCTAGCATCACCAGCTGCCGGTGTTCTGGTTCGTACTGGCTGCAATCAGTCAGAATGTGTCGAATGGAAAGAATTTTGTTGCACGTGGCACAGATAGGTGGAAAGGAGTTGTCTAAATAAGCTTTTAGGTGGGTCAAATAGGTACAATTTAACCTTAGTCTGGCGAGAACCACCTCTTCCCTCCTATTCTTTTGATATGCTGAAAGCCAGTTTCCTATGTTAGTCTTCCAGTTGTTGCGAAGATCTAACCTCGTCCAATCAAGTTGCCACTTCCCTGTTGTATATGTCTTCCCCAAGGAGAGACACGACTGACGCTCCCAGGGTACATTGGTTGTCTCCCTGAGACCCACAGTCGCTCTTGCTAGTTTGTCTGCCTATTCATTGCCCCGAATGTTGCAATGCCCAGGCACCCACATCAGCACAATATTCTTGGCACACATGTAGTTTATTAATAATGTTGCTCTGTATCTCATTGAATTGTTTTAAGAGCTGACATGGAATCTGAAATGACAGCAACATCATTGACATCGTTTGTTATTGCAATGTCAATGGCTCTACTTATTGCGAACATCTCTGCAGTGAATATGGTTGTATGCCGCGGCAGGCGGGAGCTCCACTCCCCGTCTCTGCTCCAGATACCGGCTCCAACGTTGTCGTCAGTTCTGGACCCGTCTGTGTACACGTGAGTATAGGCGCTCTATCCTTCTAGAAATTGATAGAAAAGCTGTTTCAGGAGCTCAGGATGAAGGTCATTCTTCCTTCCTGGAAGCCACGATGTTTCCACATGGAAGTTGGGGTTCTCCCATGGCGGACACAACGGTGGATACCAGCACCCTGGCACAAAGTCTGGAGGCGGACAACCGAGGACGGGGACCTACGCAGCTGCAGGAAACGGAATTTAGCAACAGCACACCAACCTGGGTGGCCTGTGCCGCGCCTCCTAGCCGCACTCAACCCGTACCTTAGCGTCAACATGTCCCTCCTGATGTGGAGTGGAGGGACGTGGGCCTCAACCTCTAGTTTTCCTACACGTGTACACCTGTAAGCACCCAGACATAGGCGAAGGCATCGGTTCTGTATTCTGGTCAGCTTTGCGAGTGTGGTGTCGCATGCAGAAGCATACAACTGGCATCCATAATTGCAAGATGATGTCACCATAAGTGACGCTGTAATAATCTTCCTCAAGGAGACCCGTCTTATCGGCATGTTGTGAAAGACACACTCATGATCTCTTTTTTATAATATGTATGTAACCATGCCCTAAAAAAAAGAAAAATGAATAAAACAAAAATTAAAACATACAACATGAGAGACATATCACAAACCTTTCCATTACATACAACACGCACATATACCAAGTAAAACTGACACCCACCAACACATATTCAAACAAAAAGACACGGGCTACAAAAGACAATAAAAAAAAAGAAAAAAAATCAAATCACAGAGAAACTAGTCACCTGACCGGCCATTTCATCTGGTCTGTCAGTAACTCACTATCATATCACTCACTCATACCATAATTCATCCCAAATAAAACAACAAGAAGAAAGAAGAAACCAAAATACCAAGAACAAGAAGAACACAAGAATAACAAGAAAAGAAGAAACAAGAACATCAGATTAGTTGTAGCAAGAAAGAAGACCAAGACTAGAAGAAGAAAGAAGACATCAGCTCCGGCCGAAATAGCCCAAAGGCGAAGTGGCCAGCAATCCCCAATACAAGTACAAGTATTTATAAAAGCACTATCATTCAGCCAGTCAGTAGATGTCTCACACGCCTTGCCCGAGTGCCCAACCGTTTCTCTGTGGATGTCGGTCACAATAGAATAACCCGTTATAGAGCATCCTTCTTTCCTCACGCAGCCAAACTGTGCAATGCTCTGCCTTCTTCTGTGTTTCCATATTCATACAATGTCTTGTGGGGTTTCATGATGTTGGTTCACACTCAGGATGGGTTGGAGAAAGGAAACTCACAATGCGCTCTCTGTATACATATTGTATTTTATATACAGTGAAGCTTGGTGTTGGGAAGTGGCAGTGTGGTTACAAGCGTGGAGTAGAGAGAGCTCGTTGGTGAGGCGCTTGCTCAGAGGAGGTGTTGCGCTGCGCTGCTGTAGGTAGAAGAGGGAGGTCACGGCGAGGTGAGGTCTTATATAGCAGGGGTAGGCGTGGCTTGATAGTTGACCTCCGCTTTGTTAGGCGGCGCTAGAGGTCGACCTTAGACCACGAGGCGTTGGCTGGGGAATTTGAAGAGGGGTCGGCTAGTCAGCGACAAATGGCAGTTGTAGTTGCAGGGGAGATATCCACTACAGTCTCACTTTAAATAGCTGGTTTTCCGGTATCTTCCTTGGTGTAGATTAATATTACCTTTTCCTTTTATATTTCTAATTTCTTTCTATTCTTATTTTTGTGCCCCCTAGGCCCCGTTGTGGGTCGTTCGACCTGTGCCCGGGTGGGCATTAATAATTCCAATAAAAAAAAATGCAGATGAAAACTCCTACTATTAATATATTGTACTGTATAATGAGGAGGCCAATCTACACACCCTTGGAACAGGTTCTCCACACCTAGATGACAATTTTGTCACCGCGTTGCCGCACTGCCATCATCATCAATGCTAACTTTACAAAATTAAGAACAAACTACGATAGATGATTTTTTAAGGATAATCTTAGGGTGGAGGGCGTCCAGCACCAGACTCCTGGTTGTACACTAGCCACGCTTCCTTCCAACATTGTATAAAGGTAGAAAATCCAGGTTAATTTCACCACCGTCATCTTGTAGCGGCTAGTTCCTCCGCCTATTAACGTCCTTTTGATGTTGCTGCAAGGTATAACATATGTTAAGATTTGATCTTTACAGAAACTGTTAGCTGTTTATGTCCATTTATCAACAAAAACTGAGATGATTAGTGGATAAAATGAAAAACATCAGCTGGACAATTATAGAATGAGAAAAATGAGACACTGGCTATGTAATGGTAAATATATCAATGGGTAAATCTAAGCATAGGAGGACCATAGGAAGGCCGAGGCTGGAATGGTAGAATGAACTTAAAAGCAGAGTCCCAAGATAAATATACAAACTTTGTAATGATTAATATAGACAGTCCGGGAAAAAAAACTTATAGAAGAACATAGTCGCCAACCCTTAGACATGAAGATGGGATTTTGATTGATTGACTTAGCGACCTATTACCATTACTCCACAAACAACTACATGAATGGAAGAGATGTATAAAGTTATCTAATACACACATTTTGTTGTCAACATTTTCTTCTATTCAGATCATTAAAAATACTGAAAACTCCTCGGAACATATTACTTATGGTTATCTTCTTTAACTGCACATATCAGGATTAAGGGCTAGACACAAACATTTACAAACATAATAGACTTGATGATATAATGGTAGAGAATTAGTGGTTAATTATTGGACCGAAAAGAATAAAAAATATAAATATAGTAAAGGACATAGAATCAATAGTTTCTCGTGACTCTTTCATAACTTGAGCTTTGATTCACATACGGGAGTGTCCAGGTAAACCCCACTGTATCTTCCATTTCATTCCTAATTGTCATTTCCATTTGTTCACTCGTCCTTCTCTCTCTACATAGTTCTTTGAAGTATAAACATTGTCATCTGATATTCACATATATTTTATCTGACCTCGAGTAGTAATGGAAAAAGACAGAGCTCTGACTGAGCTGTCGGAGACAAGAATTAAATTGATTTCAAGGTTCCGGATGGCAGTCCCTGGTGGGCGGAGCCTAAGACAAGTAGTATCCGATTACATGATTACACCGTTAGATTGAAGAAGCTGCAAGTCCAGAGACCTGCGAGGGCAAACTTTTTCGGAGTGAGGGTTGTAAACTCTTGGAACAATCTACCAGAAAGTGTTGTGACGGCACCGAGTGTGAGCTCTTTCAAGACAAGACTTGACCAACACTGGAGCGGATTCAGGTACATTCAGGAGCCGGTGCATGCCCAGTACTTGCCAATAGTGCGTGATAGAGACGTGACCGATCGCCCGGGCGGTTAGCGAAACGATCTTTTGGTGAAGAGGATAAAAGTAAAAGTAGATTCTCAAAGATACCTGATCTGACAGATCCCTTCAGGTTAATTAATTACTTTCGTAATTAACATCCTTACAACAATTTCACTATGAACATCAGATTCTCTGATGTTCATATGTGAAAAAACGGTGACTTCAGCCTCGGTCAACAATCACTGGCATTTCTAGGGCCGACGTCAATGATACCTCACTCTCACTGCCGACTCTACCCTGACTTATATTGACAATTACGCTAACAGTAACTACAATTGAAGCTCTCAACATCAGTCACAACGGATCTTGAATGCTTCATCTGCAATCAGACATCTCTAAGTTGACGCAAAGCAAGGGTGTTCTACCAATTCAAATGCATGAACACCCTGTGCGGAATTTGGGTATACTTGAGTTTCTCCGGTAATACGACATAGAAAACGGAGGACTCAGATCTGCTGAAGTGGTTCGAGAACGAATGTTTCAACTGGGAGACTCAGAAGGTTTACAGGTTTTGTGGGCGTGAAGCGTAATATGAATTATTAGGTTTTAACAGACTAGCCATGTCATTATGACCATGACAGAGTAGTAATGGAAAAAGACAGAAACTTACTGCAAATATGGAAAGAAAAATAAGTAGGATTTTGTTTTTCACTTGCATGTCAGGGGGGACCTTGAGCTTGTGCTTTATTCCAGCTACTTCGATCAATGCAAAAACTGGGCCGTCTGGTCTGTTGATCTACAACATAAATAAAAATCTTTTATTTAGAAACACTTCTGTAAATTGAGTGATTAATTATTCATTTATGAACATAAAGGTGGTGTGCCTTGGGCTATATATGAAAACCCATGACTCAAAACCACACAAAGAATCCATGACAGTTGTCAGCGTGCTATAATAATTTGTACATATAAACCTAGATAGTGCTTGTCTCTTGTTTTGCTATGGGCTTAAGTAAATTGATTCATCATGAAAAAAATAGGGAAGGAGCCTATCATAGCAGGTGGTATTTGTGCCAACTATATTCTCACACTCAGCAAGGGTTATAACAGAGACAAACGTTGGTGGAAAATGTTCACTCCCAAATTCAATACAGATGTCTGAGCCATAAGCTGAGTTACTAAATTCAATTTGTATTCACCAGATCATTCTTAATTGACCAGAAAACCAAATGAATGATGCTATCATAGACAGGTAATACTATGTCCCAACTGAATGTGTACAAGGCGAGGTATATATATATATATATATATATATATATATATATATATATATATATATATATATATATATATATATATATATATATATATATATATATATATAACTAACACATTTGGACTAAAAATAAATCATAACATTAATTTATAAATACAGGGTAGACAGTGCTACCCATATCATCATTGTTCCACAAATATTACAGTAATACAGTAGTTGAGTTGAATAATTAGTCACACTCATTATATATATCCTGTACAAAAATTACCTACCTATTCATCCCGAGACCTCATAAGTACAGTGCTGCTATTTACCTTATATCACTTACTCTAAGAACTTAATGAGCTGGTTGACTCAGTCCCAACATGGTCGCCAGGGAGTTACCTGTCACCAGTCTTAGGCTAACCACAAACACTCATAGAGATTGGGTGATGGCCATGTTTACTATTAATATAATTTAGTCCACAATGAAGTCTGTGGCAGCTGTTTCATCTCATAAATTGTTATTTAGATACAGAGACTTTTTATTGTTGCTTTGTTCACTTTGAAAAATATTCCACAGTAAATTATCTTCTGCATTTGAAATTGTCCAGTATATATGCTGGACTGTTTAAGGGAGAGAAGCTTATGATAAAACCTTAAATTGGAATGTAATCTACAGCAAAAATACAATGTGGTCCAGTGAGTGTACAGTATTCTTGAGGTTAAATACATGTCATTGTATAAATAATGAGCTAACACGGGGTTAGGTCTTGTATCAGAGAGTATTGTGACACTCTTTATTATCACATGATTCTACAAGTTTCCTACCCGCCATAAGAGGCACAAGCGGAACATCATACTGTGCAGTTACCGACAAAATTCCCTGAACAGTTGGTTTATATCTAATACTGTAACACTGGTTTTCAACACACATTATGTCGCAACCACAAAATGAAAAAAACCCACTCCTTATTATGATAAAAAAAGAGAAAATGGGATAAAATTGCAAACCCTGTCACCTAATGATCCTCAGGTACTTACATGCCAGATACTGCCAAGTGTCCAGGGAATTGTATCTAACAACTGTACATACATAAATACTATACTGGGCATAGTAATCATAAAGGTATGCAGTATAGTACAAAAATATATCCTGGTAGGAGTAACAATATACTGTAGAGGATACGAGACAGACATCACTGATCAACATTAGAGACTATAAGTTTAACATTAAGTTATTTACATTAAAAGACTAACATTTGAGATTATCATTAGAGATTAACAAAATATATTGACATTAAGAGACTAACCGTTAGAAATTAATATGAGGCTAAACCCAAATCACAGTTTCAGTAACAGTATAACAGCATAATAATATTTTAAGGAGGATGTGACTGTCATATTAAGTGCAGGTACAGTAATTCTGCACTCCAACTGTCTTATGTAAAAAGAACACCTGTTAGAAATACAGCACGTGATAGTGTGTCAAGGTGAGAGACTGACCTCGTAGATAGTGTTGGATAAGAACGATGTCTTCCTCCTGATGATAAAGAGTTGGTCGCCTGAGGTGTTGCTGATGGTGAACTTGGTGTTATTCTTACACTGTATTCTGCCCAACGGCACATCAGGTATCACACTTACGTCCATATACTGTCAACACAATAGAAAATGGGGTTGAAATAATCTCCTTAAACAACCCAATAATAAACATTCCACAAATCGTTATCTACCCGTCCACGAGGTCAATTTTACATCATATAAATTTGGGGTGAAGTGAGTTACCGAGTTAATATCTGGTGCTGGTAGGATGGTGTGTGTGTGTGTGTGTGTGTGTGTGTGTGTGTGTGCACAGGGTGGTATAATGCGTCTAGTGTGACAGCATTATGTTAGTGTTAAGGTGCAGGCATTGCTTGCTCTTTCTCGCTTTCAGCTACCGCCTCTGGCTAGCCTCGTGGTGACCAGTCTTCCCCTGCCAGTACACAGCCTCTTCGTGTTGTGCCTCCTCGTGGCAACAAGCGGTAACTGGGTGTCTTGTGGGCCCACGCTAGACCAGCAGTGGGCCCCAAAGGGACGGCGCATAGGCCCACTGGCATGTGGACACGTCCTGGCGCTTACCAACCACTGCCCCACTGCCTTGCGGATAAACCTTGGTAGGTATAAGGCTACAGAGTAAATCTCGAACGAAAAATCTGCGGTGGAGCCCTGCATCAGGTAAACATGCTTACAGAGCTCCAACAAGACCCCAACGGCGGTATAGGTGGAAGAGGTGAGCACCATGGAAACCCAACAACAACACCGGCAGAGTAAGGCAATGCATGATGGACAGGCTACTAAGGCATAACCCAACAAACTGGGCTATCAGCAGTCCATTGCAACTCTCCCTCTCCCCAGTCGTTGCAAAACTTGCACCACTGGATCAGGAAAAAGGAGAGCCAAGATGTGTGGTTGCAGCCTGCACTACTGCCTCACCACATAAATCAACTCACGTGCAGCCATCATCCAGCTCATTATACCTCTCATCATCATCAAAACCCCTATACCCCCAAAAATCCTATGGCGACGGACGAGTGGCGACGGGGACAGGCAGAGATGACTGCCGGGAGTCTCTAGTCACAACTCTGCACAAGGGCGGCACAGATAAGATGCTCGTTTATGCACTGGGATCTAGGCAGCAGTGCAATCCAGTCCTGTCTTTGTGACTGAGCAGCCCTTTCAAGGAGCCACTCTGCTCACCCCACATGGGAAAAGGTGCCCTAAATATAGCCTGCTTAAGAAAACAAGCTGACTGGGCAACCGCACCTAGTAAGGTCATCCTCATGCCGTCTTAAACACAGTCAAAATCACAGATCCAAAACAAAACAAAACTATGCAACCTTTTATGGTCGCTGCATGGAATATCAGGACTCTTCTGGATACTGGCACAAATGAGCATCCTGAAAGAAGAACTGCCCTTGTGGCAAAAGAGCTGGCTAGGTATAACATCGACATAGCAGCCATCAGTGAGTCCCTGCTCCCAGACGAGGGTCAACTCACAATACCGGGGTCCGGTTTTGCCATCCGCCGACGCATTCTACACAGACTAACTGAAATACCTATTGAGATCAACGGGTGGCTCATGACGCTCCGAGTCCCACTGAACCACTCACATCATGCCTTTTTCATCAGTGCATACGCCCCAACACTAGATGCAGAAGATGACATCAAGGAGGCCTTTTACGCCGACCTCAACAGAGTGCTAACCTCTATCCCCAGAGAAGATGAGGTTGTGCTCCTTGGTGACTTTAATGGCAGAGTTAGCAGAGATGCTGACATTTGGTAGGGAACCATAGGGAGAAATGGACTAGGCAAGTGTAATCCCAACTGCCTACTCCTCCTCAGCAAGTGTGCTGCACACAACCTCACTATGACCAATACCTTGTTTAGGCAGGCCGACAAGTTCAAGGGTTTGTGGCAACACCCATGATCCAAACACTGACATCTCATTGACTACATCATTGTCAGAGAAAGAGATCGCTGAGATGTCCTCATTAGTGGCTCAGACCACTGAGACACTGATCATTTGCTTGTCAGAGCCAGTCTCTCACTTCACGTTAACCCAAAACGGCGAAGGCAGCAAGGATTTAGAAGAAGTTTTAACACTGAGCATCTGGAGGATCCAGTGGTAGCACGTGCTTTCAGAGAGCAGCTCGAACATGTGCTGATAAACAACCCGACAATGAACAACCCAAATCCCAGCGCCGAATGGGATATTCTCAACACTGTCATTACAAAAACCAGCAGAGAGACCCTCGGCCAGATCGAAAAAATACACCAGGACTGGTTTGATGAAAATGACCCGGCAATCAATGTACTCATCAATGATAAATGTGCTGCTTTAACTGACTGGCAGAACAACCCTCAGTTTTGGACCAAATCTGATACCTTCCGCAAGAAGAAAGCTGTGGCCCAGTGGGAACTGTACACTCTAAAGAATGACTGGTTTAAAAATAAAGCATGTGAAACACAAAAATTTGCAGATCAGCACAAGATGTGCGCATTTTTCAATTTCACCAAATCACTCGTGGCACAGCCCCCCTCCGCTCATCCGACGGTAACTTCATAATTAAAGATGATGAAGGCCTCCTTCAGCGCTTGGAAAGAGCACTATCATTCACTGCTCAACCGAAACACTGATGTGGATGTCCTGACAACCCAGCAGGTCCCTCAGCATTCAGAGCTGACCCACCTCAACTATCCTCCATTCCATCGAGCCTCAGGGCCCGATGGAATCCCAGCCGAGGTGTATAAAGCAGGAGGACCTCTGCTTACCAGCCATTTCCACTTTCTCCTGGAGAATATAGGGGAAAAGGAGGAAATCCCCCAAGCTCTTAAAGACGCCTCCATCGTCAATATTTATAAGTACAAGGGAGACTACGCTGGACTGGCCATGTTACCCGCATGGACGATAGTAGACTGCCAAAGCAGCTACTTTACAGTCACAGAGCGAATAGTAAACGTAATGCTGGCGGGCAACTGAAAAGGCATAAGGACAGTCTTAAGACAAACCTGAAAATGTGCCAAATCGACCCCCTCACCTGGGAGATGATTACTCCACATCGTAACACTTGGAGGAGCACCAAAGGAGAAGGCGTCAATACTTTTGAGTTAGCCAGACTGCAAACCTAGGCAGACAAGCGCCAGCACTGGAAAGACTGCCACCGCCCCTCCCTCACTCAACGTAGCCCTCCACATGTGCAACATCTGTGAACAACTCTGCCGGTCCCGTATCGGCCTCTTTAGTCACCTCAAAACTCACCAATGATCGTCATACTCGATTCCGAGTGACAGCAAAGCAGTAGTAGTAGTAGTAGTTTTTGTCTTGCATATTTAAAAAAATAGTAGTAGTAGTAGTAACAGTGTGTGTGTGTGTGTGTGTTGTCATTCAAAGGTCTAAATTCCCGCGTAAGAGAATCAATGTAGTTGCAGTTAGAAGAAAGACTTTCAGTAGACAGACACAGAAGAGAGTGACGAGCATTGAGGTAAACTTACCTTAATGTCAGTGAAGAATCCAGAGTCATTGAATTTCTTCATATAGGCAAGTGGCCGCTTGTCTGGTGTTCTGATGGTGAAGCCCATCTGACCGCCAGCCTCACAGCAACAGGTAAGACAATCACCCTCATATTCATATTTTGCTGTGAACACCAACTCCTTCTGAGGATTCTTTATCTTGATCACTCGGCCTGGGGGATCAACCCACGCATTTAGTTACTTATTGACGAGACAACACTGCTCAGTAGATGTAAGTTGAACATGGATGATTGATAGATATAGTGAAATTCAAAGAGCTTTAGAGTTATCAATTACAATGAGTTAACGAACTTCTGAAAATCAATATAGAATTCCTTCTCATTATATGCTGTAGATATAACCAGTCAATAGGGGTCAACTTGTGGGAATACGTGAATCATGACATCACTAAATACTGAGTATAATTACTTCTACGATTGGCCATTGAAGAATCCAGCATTGTATTAAAGATGTATAGCCTACAGTGATGACATGTATTTCTTAAAACTAGATTCCTCTGTTCATCTTATGGGTGAATTATCAGATGGGCTCTACAGTACATATACTCCACTACCACCACTACAATCACGACGACGACCGATATCACAACCACCACCAATACCACCATCACCACTTCATCTCTAATGGCAAGATAGTCGACATATTAAGATTGTATCCACTTAGTAACTATATCAATTCCCATGTATAGAACCAAACACACAATGTGAATAACAAAGTGTGCGGCCAGACACACTGCCTCACACTCCTGTACTTCACGCAGTTGTGAATAAATATGTATACTCGATAGAACTAAACAAAGAATTTATTTGAAATACTGTATAACATTCAGTGCCATAATATCCTGACCACGGGGGTTAATTATTATGACCCGTTGTAAACTCTACTCTGTAATCCCTTTGCGCTACCGCTCACAGGATGAGTATAGGGTGCGCAATAAACTAGCCGCTGTAAGTGGCAAAATTAAATTAAATTAACTAGCACAGCTATCACCATCACCACTAGCACAGCCATCATTACCTCCACTATTAATATTATAAATTGCTTCATCTTCACTGACACTACAGATCTACACCTCCATTTGAGTGTAATAAAACTGCTTTACCTCCATTAACAACACCAAAAATACTGCTATAAACTGTTCCCTTCCCCACCATTAAAACTCTTCTACAACAATAAAACTGTCTCCCCTACACTAAACATATTATAAACTGTCTCCCCTACACTAAACATATTATAAACTGTCTCCCCTACACTAAACATAATATAAACTGTCTTCCCTACACTAAACATATTATAAACTGTCTTCCCTACACTAAACATAATATAAACTGTCTTCCCTACACTAAACATATTATAAACTGTCTCCCCTACACTAAACATATTATAAACTGTCTTCCCTACACTAAACATAATATAAACTGTCTTCCCTACACTAAACATAATATAAACTGTCTTCCCTACACTAAACATATTATAAACTGTCTTCCCTACACTAAACATAATATAAACTGTCTTCCCTACACTAAACATATTATAAATATTATAAACTGTCTTCCCTACACTAAACATATTATAAACTGTCTCCCTACACTAAACATATTATAAACTGTCTTCCCTACACTAAACATATTATAAACTGTCTTCCCTACACTAAACATATTATAAACTGTCTTCCCTACACTAAACATATTATAAACTGTCTTCCCTACTCTAAACATATTATAAACTGTCTTCCCTACACTAAACATATTATAAACTGTCTTCCCTACACTAAACATATTATAAACTGTCTTCCCTACACTAAACATATTATAAACTGTCTTCCCTACACTAAACATATTATAAACTGTCTTCCCTACACTAAACATATTATAAACTGTCTTCCCTACACTAAACATATTATAAACTGTCTTCCCTACACTAAACATATTATAAACTGTCTTTACCTACACTAAACATATTATAAACTGTCTTCCCTACACTAAACATATTATAAACTGTCTTCCCTACACTAAACATATTATAAACTGTCTTCCCTACACTAAACATATTATAAACTGTCTTCCCTACACTAAACATATTATAAACTGTCTTCCCTACACTAAACATATTATAAACTGTCTTCCCTACACTAAACATATTATAAACTGTCTTCCCTACACTAAACATATTATAAACTGTCTTCCCTACTCTAAACATATTATAAACTGTCTTCCCTACACTAAACATATTATAAACTGTCTTCCCTACACTAAACATATTATAAACTGTCTTCCCTACACTAAACATATTATAAACTGTCTTCCCTACACTAAACATATTATAAACTGTCTTCCCTACACTAAACATATTATAAACTGTCTTCCCTACACTAAACATATTATAAACTGTCTTCCCTACACTAAACATATTATAAACTGTCTTCCCTACACTAAACATATTATGAACTGTCTTCCCTACACTAAACATATTATAAACTGTCTTCCCTACACTAAACATATTATAAACTGTCTTCCCTACACTAAACATATTATAAACTGTCTTCCCTACTCTAAACATATTATAAACTGTCTTCCCTACACTAAACATATTATAAACTGTCTTCCCTACACTAAACATATTATAAACTGTCTTCCCTACTCTAAACATATTATAAACTGTCTTCCCTACACTAAACATATTATAAACTGTCTTCCCTACACTAAACATATTATAAACTGTCTTCCCTTCACTAAACATATTATAAACTGTCTTCCCTACACTAAACATATTATAAACTGTCTTCCCTACACTAAACATATTATAAACTGTCTTCTACACTACAAAAACATATTATAAACTTGTCTTCCCTACACTAAACATATTATAAACTGTCTTCCCTACACTAAACATATTATAAACTGTCTTCCCTACACTAAACATATTATAAACTGTCTTCCCTACACTAAACATATTATAAACTGTCTTCCCTACTCTAAACATATTATAAACTGTCTTCCCTACACTAAACATATTATAAACTGTCTTCCCTACACTAAACATATTATAAACTGTCTTCCCTACTCTAAACATATTATAAACTGTCTTCCCTACACTAAACATATTATAAACTGTCTTCCCTACACTAAACATATTATAAACTGTCTTCCCTTCACTAAACATATTATAAACTGTCTTCCCTACACTAAACATATTATAAACTGTCTTCCCTACACTAAACTACACTAGGTAGTAGGTAGAAGGCAGCTATCAAACAGGGAGGTACTTCCGCCTGGGAAGATATTGGAAACATAACGTGTTGTCTAATGGTAGACCCTGCCGCCATATGGTATCACAAAATTTTTATCCAAGTCTCAGGTTGCTGATCTGACTTCCGGCCTCATTTACACACAATTGCAGGGTCTCAATTGTGTCTTACTTGACAACACAACATACATATAGCGTTTCTCACTATTTTTTTTATTATTACAGTGTTATTATTATTATTGTTATTTTTAATTTAATTTACTTTTTATTATAAATTTTATTTACTATGAATAATTATTACATTTTCGCCCCCCAGGCCCCGTTGTGGGTCAGTGACCTGTGCCCGGGTGGGCTAATTCCCGTAAAAAAAAAAATGTCTCCCCCTGCACTAAACTATAAACTGTCTCCCCTACACTAAAAAGAGTAATGTTTGAACTCACTTTGAGAGGGGTAAACTTTAATCTCCTGAGCCGTCAGCAAACATTCAAAACCAGCGGGACAGAAGGTGTCAGTGAGTTGCCCAGGAACTACTGGCTGTAACTGCTCCCTCGGTATCAATACATATGGGAGTGGTTCATGCGTGTAGTTCTGTGGTAACCGGGGTGCAGTGGCAGCCCCCTCCTGACCATGCACACCTGCGGGTGCACCAAACACCACGTCCTCGTACTTGGGTGGGGGTGAAGTGTACTTCATAGTGTGATCTGAAGAACTCATGGCTGTAGGGAAAGTTGTTAATACTGAGAGAGGTTAAGCAGCACACCCTTTCCAATCTTAACATTTAATATTATGTCTGTGTTTAATTTTGGAAATCTAAGAATGTCCTGAAATTTTATGCATGGAATAATCAGTTTCGTAAGGTCGTATATGTATCTTATCTGATAGCTGCCACTTTACCACACAGTTTACACTTATTTTATCGGATAAGGATAAAATGTCTCAAGTCCTCCATGACCGTTAAGAACTATACCCAAATTCAAAGCACTGCAAGAGATTCAATCAGTGCTCTGCTATAGTCTGTGTTCTCTACAGTCTGGTAATGTCTTTACGGTAACTGCGATTTATCATTCACTATAAACATGGTTGCACTTTATATCATTCATCCGACACGGTCTGTCAGGCCGGGTTCACCTACATACATTACCGGTGCATGATGCACTCAGTATCAGGTTAGATAACGCCAGCCAAATTTAGGCATGTAATTTCATCAGTATTGACAATATCTGTTATATTTTAGTTATTTCGAATTTATATGTGTCGTAATACTGTAGGATTTCTGGTGTGATGATCGGCGGCGTTACGTCAGGTTTGGATCTCTATACAAGCAAGTGATAAACAAGGCACGCGGTGTTTCAAAGCTTCAGTCAATATAATTATTTCAGTTCATGAGTTAATGTGTTTTCATTTAACAACATGACTCGCATCATCGCTCGTATTCTCACTTAACTTCATGACAATTTTCGAACTATGATGTGAGTCCTTACCACATCTAATTTAATGTAATTCAGATTTGGCTCTTTTAGAACACTGAACTGATAAGTCGAAAACAGAAAAAAATAAGTCGAGGACTGTATCGTCATCGCCAGGGACCACTGTACAGTATGTGTGGACAAGGTTAACAAGCTCTAACTAATGGCTTTTTTCTTCTTTAATTAGTGTTAGACTATATGACCTCCCGGACAACTTTACCGTTCATGAACACTACTTATTAGTATATGAAGGCTTCAGAGGGTATCGACAATGATAGCGGGACTTTTGCGGTTTTACTCTTTCTGTAATCGTTTCCTTGAGATACAGTCTTAATGTTTTCATACTCTTCTTTAATTTGTACAGAATGTCCGATTGGAATTGAACCATACTTGTTTCCGTTATGAAGAAGAACGCATTTCAAGCTCCTTTTAGAACTGTCAATAAAAAGTCTCCAATCCTTACTATCATATGCTGGTAGTCCCATGGAGAGAAGAAGTCCTTCTACATCATTACAAAAAACAAGCTGGTCATATGAATGAAAGTACTTCCGCAGTTGCTCTTCTCTGTTGCGATAAAAGGAGACACTCGTGCCAGGTTTTAAGAGTCGTTTCTCTTGAAGCCTGGAAGCTAACAATTCAGCAGACTGTTTTGGCAAATTTAGATCTCTGACCAGATCATTCAATTCTGACTGAGTAAACAACGTTGGCTTTTCACAATCTTCACCAGATGGCTTGAAAAGATCAGTCTCTTCATCTTCATCAGTAGAAACAGGTGAATTCCGGTCTATATCCTCAATCTCTGGTAGCTCAGTAAATTCTGGCACGTTACGTTATGGAGCAAATCTGAGATCAGATTTGGATTCAGCACCTTAAAGTTAGTAAAAAACAGTTAAAAGGTTTCATGCCAGAAAAAAAAATATTTTTTTGTAGACCAGTGTTATGAATGTTACACATATCCGGATTTGTAACTGAAAATTCCCCACGTTTGAGGGGAAAACTGAACTTGGTACACACTTGACACCTCTGACACTCGGGGGATTACCCCACTCCACACAGTGTTGTAACAAATATTTATATGTCCCTAATTTAATGTAACATATTTTATGTAACAAATTACTCTTTTATTGTCTTTTTAATTCTTTATGTTTATTTACTTATATATTTATTCTTCTTTCTCTTTTTTTACTTATACTCGTGAGAGGTGGAGGGAGTGAGGGAGGTAGTGAGAGGTAATTGTTTACGTTTGAGGAAGGTGTGAGGGGAGGGGGGTACAGGACTTACTGTTTGTGGTTAGGCTAGAAAGGCCTACACCAAGGGGAGACTCAGGGAAGCTGGTTGTGGGGACTAAGATATTAATACTTCAGAGAGGAAATATTGATTGTATATAGGACCCACCGTATTACTGCATAATACCAAGACATTTATAACACATCACTCTTTCTCAAGAAAGGAGGGATGAATTAGGACTCTTATTAACGGTTACTGTATTTATTGAATACTTTATGTTAGGGTTTAACAGGGGACCATGTATCTCACAACAAATGGGAACTTGAGGATTTACCAAATAGAATGCACCCAAATACCTGCCGTGTCGCCACCACAGACACCTCCCTACACAAAATTCCAACACAGACTCCCTTATTCAAACTGAGTGAGCCCACAAGGGAGGTCAAAACTTTCATGACGTCACGCCTCATAGGCTTTCTCATTGGTCGAAGACAGGTCTCAGGCCTTCATACTATTGGCTTAAATTAGCGGGACACTCATGACATTGTTACAGTGTTCCCAATGGAGAAAACAAACTGTATCCCAAACAGCGTCAAAAGGTACCACAAGACACAATAAACTATCCATTCTATTTTGATAATGCATAGTTTTCATTTCATATGACAAGTATATAAACATATACTTATTCCAGCAAAAAAGTGTTTTGGTGATAATTTTTTTATTGACTGTAAAAGGCTTACCATTAATACAATTAAATTTTTGTAAACAAAATATCAATATGAGGTGATTTTAAGATTCATTTATCCCCTGGCTATCCTTGGGAGGATATATAAGGCGTATATCCTTGGGAGGATATATATGGCGTATATCCTTGGGAGGATATATATGGCGTATATCCTTGGGAGGATATATATGGCGTATATCCTTGGGAGGATATATAAGACGTACTGTATATCCTTGGGAGGATATATACGGCGTATATCCTTGGGAAGACATATAAGGCGTATAACCTTGGGAAGACATATAAGGCGTATATCCTTGGGAGGATATATAAGACGTACTGTATATCCTTGGGAGGATATATACGGGGTATATAAAATAAATTTTATTTTTATAAGTTCGAAAGTTATTGGCTGTCCTCTTTTCCTCTGAATGCAGCTTATCATTAAAATAAGTGTTGTCTCAATTTTGTTTTGTTAAAATATGGCCATTCACTGACCCAGTAATTAATATATTCTTTGTGTCAGTCTTGATGAGTTAAACCTACGAAAAAATTATCTCAACTGCAGCTAACAAAGAAGGCATTGCATCACACTATGTACAGTATATCCAACACAGAGCGACTAAGATAATTCATGATCTATGTCATCTCGATTATTTATCCAAGTAGACTGAGGGCCTCAGGAGCAACAACCCTTCAGACAAGGCACAATAGGGTAGATCTCATTGAAACATTCAAAATCCTGAAAGGGATGGAAAACGAGAGGACATAACTCAAATACAAGCTCGCCAAGTTATGCAGAACGAATATAAAGAAATACTTTTTATCACAGAGGCTTGATAGACTCAAGCTGGGTTTCATAATAGGCCTTGACAAAATTATCAAGAACAATGAAGGGATCCTACAGAGGTCACTGGACTTCTTCCCTCGGCATGGCCACCGCTAGTGAGTGGCCATTAGGTAAATAAAGTAAGGAAATATGGGCCTAAAAGTAGGACAGAGTGTTACATATTGTACTCTGATGAAAAAAGTTATATTTTATACGAAAATTATTAAAATACGGTAAAAAATAGTATCCCCAAACTTAAAATTCACTCATGTATCGTTTAAGTCAACGGCGTAAGTCATAGTGATATCAAAAGTATCCAAATGATACTTGGTTCGGCAATTATGAGGGTATATTGATATTGATATTTATTTAGCCAGAAAAATACAGATAAAGAGTGGATAATAATAACAATATTAACATAGCTGAGCCAATTGAGAGCCTGTGCTCTCTTAATGGCTTCTGATATATACTGAACATTTATCTCAAGGAAGTATTATGTAACATTTTAGTATCATCTGGAATAGTACACATAGCATGGTATTAGTGAGAACCACGGTTATCAATTCGTTATTTATTTATTTTCATTTTATATTTATATTATAAGTATATACATACTTTACAGGAGTTGATATATATTAGTATGATAAGGGAGGAAAGCAATACAACATGGGTTGTATTAAAGTGAAACAAAAGGACAGAAGCTGTCAGGATCATGTCTTGTTGGCAAATATACAATTATTGCAATGATAATTTCTATCTACATGGCAATTTATGATATAATGGTTTTGGTGGTACAATAAAAGTAAGAATATAAAGTCGATATTACAAAAATATTAATACTTAGAAAATAGATATTTTTTAAGCGATGATTTAAAAGAAAGGAGCGTAGTCTTTTTTTTTTTATGGGGATTAGCCCACCCGGGCACAGGTCACTGACCCACATCGGGGCCTGGGGGGCGAAAATTTAATAATAATAGTAATTCATAGTAAATAAAATTTATAATAAAAAGTATGGGTCCGGGTTAGCTGTTCCACACCTTGACACCATGATATTTGATGGAGGTCTGGGACTGTGAGGAGCACATGGTGGTCTTAGTAGCTCTGGGTGTCTTGAGTTGTATCTCTGATTATTCCGGAATGTTTTTAGACAGTTTTGTACGCTGATAACTTTTAGTTGTATCCATTTTCATATGTAAATGCTTAGTTTTCTAGATATAGGCAAGTTAAGATATAGCCTGAAATCATGTGCTAACCTAACCTATATTTTATAGGTTAGGTTAGCACATGATTTCAGCCATTTTTATGTTTTTCCACAATATAATATAGTATACCCTAATAAAATAAGAGAAAACGGGGATTTTTAAAAGCCCATTTTCAACGAAAAGCACTGCGCACTTTTATCCGAGACGTCATCGTCGCCTACGAAGCTTGTTTCAATGAGTGCTGTTTCTAATATTTTAGTTAATAGTTGTTATAAATTGTGAGATAGTTGAAGATCTTTTAGTATATCGTTTGACTGATTGTTTACGAGAGGGGGACAAGTTGTGGTGGGGGGGGGGTTACTCATCAATTGAATAATAAAAGGAATACAGGAATAAAACACCGGGCGAACATCTCTAAGAAATTTTCACAGATTTTCGACATTTTTTCACATTTTATCCCATTTTCAGAGGGAAGTTCCCCTTAAGTTATTACGAAATAGTTAGTGGTTATAGAAATAAACAAATCGAGTATCTTACCTACTGACTGTTGGAGCTGAGTAGTTGTAAAATGCTATTTTAGAAAGATGGTTGAACATAAAATAAACTTAGAAGAGAACACAAAGTTATAGGTCTTCACCTCCCGAGCGTTCAAGTGGCACTGAGTTTACTGTAGCACTAGCGAGTCAGCGACTAGCGAGTGATACCTACTAGGCGATCGTTTACTTGTGAGTCATCACTTCGTGACTATGACTGTACTCTATATTTATAGTCCTCGCCACTATCGAGTATCGGCCTGATAGCCGCTTGGACAGTAGGTCACGTGCCTGGTCACGTCTGCATAACAAGATTATAAGGGGCCCAGGAAGCTCGTTGCACACTTTCCATTAACCCTTTAGACTAGAGGGTAGGGATTTCTCTCAGATGAATAAAATCATCTGGCGTTAGCCAGAATAAAATACATAAGTGTGGAGTTATACCCTCTCTAGGCTATAGGGATAATCGAGATAGGCTCTTACACTCGTAAGAGCCTTTACCTTTGACAATTTGTTTGAAATACTCTCTTCTGAGACTCAGTGTGAGTCAGAGCTGTCAAACCAATTTTCTTCTTATGAACAACGAGGGAAAAGAATAACACCTTCGCCTTGGCCTAATTTGATACTGCGTATTATCTGCTCATCATTTGTCGCGGACATATCTTGAAATTCTAAGATTTGTCCTTTTTCAACTGCCGTATTGTTCATGTGTAATGATCATTTTGTTGTTCTGGACTCAGTGGGTTTGGTCTTGGGTAATTTTACCAATAAAATAGTTTACCTTACTGCGTATGACATTCAGAGTAATATCCGCGTTCTTATTTCTCAACGACTCTGGTAAGCGAATACAGTACCCCTTGTTCCTCCATCATCCTGTTGTAATCACCATTGTAATACTTGAACCTCGGTCTGCTCTCATCATGTACCAGGTAACAGTTAAACCTGAAGGACAACAGGATGGTGTTGGGTGTAATCTCCCATACCGAGATAGACCATCTTGAGACAGATGAGCTGGCTGAGCTAATCGGAGACCAGCTCACAATAGAGCAGAAGCTGACCAGCGTAACTGCACTGGTCGGTTATTCAAAGCATCTACCGAACACCGTATTGCTGGGATGGGAGAACATCCCAGTAAGACTTTATGAAAAAAGACCCACAAGGTGCTATAAATGCCAGAGGCATGGCCATCTGGCAGGGAAGTGCCGAGCTCGGGAGGTTTGTGCCACTTGCGGGACACCCGATTCAGATTTGCTCCCGAGGGGGCTAGTTTATTGGGCACCCCCTTACATCCTGTGCAAGGAGTGCGGGACACCCGGGTACCAGCACACAAACTGCTCGGCGGCCTACAAGAAATGTGTAGCTTGTGGTGGCCCTCACTCCTCCTCCGACCGGGAGTGTCCCAAGTGGAGGGAGCACTGTAAGGCGGCTAAACTGCGAAGCAAAAAACAGCTGAGCTACAAGGAGGTTTTTGTAGTGAAGACAGGGGAAAAGAAGACTCGAGAACAAAACAAAACCGTAGAAAAGAAACCAGAACCAAACAAGACCAAAGAAAAAACAAGAAACCAAAAAAGCCAGATACATTAACATACAGATTTTCAGAGTTTTTGTTTACATTTACGAGTATATACCTGAACAAGACCAGGAAGAAAATGGGAAGTGGAAGTGAAAGAAAACAACCAAGGAAAAACACAGCTTCAGCCGAAAGGCGAAGTGGCCAGAAATCCCCCAAAATGCATGGATGGATAGTGTCAAATGCCTTTTTACAGATGTTCTACTTTCTGGGTAATTTGGACTTTATGATCAAGTAAACCACTATGTCTCCAGTACAGTGCACGGTATAGTGTGTTCTTTATTCACCACAGTGTCTTTACAGGGTTGATGTAAATAGTCTCGTACACTAACCAGCCCACCGTAAGCATTTTTTTAATTCGGGACTTTCACGAATGATGAATTAGTCACCTATAGCTATAATGTGGCACTTTAACGCAACAATTTTTGTTACATTTCTAAACAATAATGCTTCACTACGATGCATACTGTATTACTATTTCAGGAGGACCATGAGACCACCAGTAAAGTTCCAGAACTAGACTATATGAAGCCTCGTGAAACACGAGATATGGAGCTTCGTGAGGATAGGGTTCACCATTTTGAAGTTTCGGAGTCTCGGACTTCGATCTTCGGTTAGTCTATCAGGTGTCGCCGACACGATCAGCAGCACATGTTGTTCGGCTGATTCTGGAAAGCTGTCCCATAAGAATGAACATACTTCGTTGCTAGTGAAACTTACCGAGTGTTTTTTTTTTTTTTTTATTCACTGCTATTGGTACTGTACCGCCAGTGCAGGACGAGAGGAAGAGGAACAAGGAAGCCAAGAACAGTGTGTAAAAAAGAACGGGTAACTATTGTGTTTGGTGGCGTCCGCAACACACCACTAGTTAGTTGTACCAGTAACAACTTCCGCCACCACTACTTCCTCCTTTGCGCCCACTTTAACAGTAACATGGTGGAGAGGCAGATCCACCATAAACTTTTTTTCGCCCAGGCAAACAGACGGTTATGTTAGGTTAACTCGAATGTTTTTGGTAAGGATTCGTTTTAAGTACACCAAGGAGACAACTAACAAAAATTTGGTTTTCCTAGAGTATTTTGTGTTGTTTTAAACGTTCTGACCTTCATTTCCGTTGCAAATGAGCCGATATGGAGATATGACCCCCAATTACCAACAATATTGGTGGTTCAAAGTGGGCAGGACTTTGAAGTAGAGATAAATTGTGGGGTAAAATACTAAAATTAACACCAAACAAATCTTTGAAAACCTAACCTAACCTTTCCTAACTTTATAAAAATCATAAAACTGTAAAAACCTTACCTAGTAAATGTTTTCGGTGTAATAATAATAATAATAATTAACGGTTTATTGAAAAAAGTTCTGTATCCCGAAGGCTGAAAATATACATTGGACATAAATGACTTATTACATACATTGGTGGTTTAACAAAAGCCTTCATTAAAGAAAGGTAAGGAACTTGCGGTGAACATACAGATTAATGTAGGTGTTGGACAGCAAACACGTAATGTAGTAAGCCCCTCCCACATGCTATTGCTTCATCAGTTTGTAGTGTAGGTGGTGTGGGAGGCTGCGATACTAATTTAAGAATGAGAACCGATGTCTGGTGCACCTGTTAGGGGTAAACTTTCTTCAACTCAATACAGTAGGTAGTGATCTCTGGTCTGATGGGGTGGCTGAGAACTAGGGTATTGCTATAATGTTTGTGGCTGGCAGAGTAAGTGTGCCTTATTGTGGTGGCTCTCAGAACTAGGGTACCTTCCTGCGGTGGTGGTGGTACACACTTAGTGCCTCTAATTATATATATATAAATGTTGTTTCCTTCAGTTACTGAATGAGTAACTCTCCCCATTTATGTATTATATAAATTGGAATATGTACAATGAAAGACAAAAGTTGTGTCGTGAAATTTGGTGAAAACATATGCCGATGAGCTAAACTTTTGGTGCGCTCTGCCTCTTATAATGTGTCACGAGTTACATTTAATCTTCGGACAAAACCGCGACACGACTCTTGTCTTTGTTTGTACAACGATCATTGAGTTAGTGTATGAGCATATTGTTCCATTAACGTTGGTAACTAATTTTGCATACGTAGGAGTGAGGAATCATTGGCAGGCTCGGACGTAATTGTATGGTTGTAGCTCGTGTCCCCCAAAACACTTCTTAGCATATTTCTTACATGATTTTGCTAATAAGAGCACCTGCATAATAGGAAAAAATTACATATGGAATATTCTCGAATTTGCAGTGAGATTTTATTTATTTTTGAGAACTTGACACTCGTAATTATTTTCCGGATGTAAGACAAAGTGAAAAATTTTAGTTAAAAAATATAAATCTCCCGAGTTTAGACAGCAGCTCACACTACATCCCACAACAAAAGCGTATCTTGGTGCTGTATAAGTCTGTCATTCTTCACCACAGGCTAATATTACAACATAATTCGTGTAAGTTTTTGGTAAAGTAGAAAGAATTGTAGGTTTGTGTCCTTATACAGTATATATTTGTATAAGCGTGCTCGTCTTCATTCCCACAGACACGAGTCGATCAAGTTCCCCAATAATGTGGATAATCCCAATCTTGGCATGGTTACTGAACTTCGTGCCAGTTGAGTACGAGGAGGCCCAACCTGTCAACAGACTCCACCTCCTCCCGGTGAGTCACCCTACAACGAGTAAGGCTATAGTTGGTCCACCATCACGTGTGGGTGAGCCTAGTTGGTCCACCATCACGTGTGGGTGAACCTACCATCACGTGTGGGTGAGCCTAGTTGGTCCACCATCACGTGTGGGTGAACCTAGTTGGTCCATCATCACGTGTAGGTGAACCTAGTTGGTCCATCATCATGTGTAGGTGAACCTAGTTGGTCCACCATCACGTGTAGGTGAACCTAGTTGATCCACCATCACGTGTAGGTGAACCTAGTTGGTCCACCATCACGTGTAGGTGAACCTAGTTGGTCCACCATCACGTGTAGGTGAACCTAGTTGGTCCACCATCACGTGTAGGTGAACCTAGTTGGTCCACCATCACGTGTCGGTGAACCTAGTTGGTCCACCATCACGTGTAGGTGAACCTAGTTGGTCCACCATCACGTGTCGGTGAACCTAGTTGGTCCACCATCACGTGTAGGTGAACCTAGTTGGTCCACCATCACGTGTCGGTGAACCTAGTTGGTCCACCATCACTAGTTGGTCCACCATCACGTGTAGGTGAACCTAGTTGGTCCACCATCACGTGTAGGTGAACCTAGTTGGTCCACCATCACGTGTAGGTGAACCTAGTTGGTCCACCATCACGTGTAGGTGAACCTAGTTGGGCACATCACGTGTAGAGTGAACCTGCATCGGTGAGGCATCACGTGGTGATCACCATCACGTGGGGTCCTAGTTGGTCCATCATCACGTGTCGGTGAGTTGGTCCACCATCACGTGTCGGTGAGCCTAGTTAGTCCACCATCACGTGTAGGTGAACCTAGTTGGTCCACCATCACGTGTAGGTGAACCTAGTTGGTCCACCATCACGTGTAGGTGAGCCTAGTTGGTCCACCATCACGTGTAGGTGAGCCTAGTTGGTCCACCATTGCGTGTCGGTGAGCCTAGTTGGTCCACCATCACGTGTAGGTGAGCCTAGATGGTCCATCATCACGTGTCGGTGAGCCTAGTTGGTTCACCATCACGTGTCGGTGAACCTAGTTGGTCCACCATCACGTGTAGGTGAGCCTAGTTGGTCCACCATCACGTCGGTGAGCCTAGTTGGTCCACCATCACGTGTAGGTGAGCCTAGATGGTCCATCATCACGTGTCGGTGAGCCTGGTTGGTCCCCCATCGCGTGTCAGTGAGCCTAGTTGGTCCACCATCACGTGTAGGTGAGCCTAGATGGTCCACCATCACGTGTCGGTGAGCCTAGTTGGTCCATCATCACGTGTAGGTGAACCTAGTTGGTCCACCATCACGTGTAGGTGAGCCTAGATGGTCCATCATCACGTGTCGGTGAGCCTAGTTGGTTCACCATCACGTGTCGGTGAACCTAGTTGGTTCACCATCACGTGTAGGTGAGCCTAGTTGGTCCACCATCACGTGCCGGTGAGCCTAGTTGGTCCACCATCACGTGTCGGTGAGCCTAGATGGTCCATCATCACGTGTTGGCGAGCCTAGTTGGTCCACCATTACGTGTCGGTAGGCCTGAATTGGTCTACCATCGTGTGGTGGCCTAGATGGTCCATCATCACGTGTCGGTGAGCCTAGATGGTCCATCATCACGTGTAGGTGAACCTAGTTGGTCCACCATCACGTGTAGGTGAACCTAGTTGGTCCACCATCACGTGTAGGTGAGCCTAGATGGTCCATCATCACGTGTCGGTGAGCCTAGTTGGTTCACCATCACGTGTCGGTGAACCTAGTTGGTCCACCATCACGCGTCGGTGAGCCTAGTTGGTCCACCATCACGTGTAGGTGAACCTAGTTAGTTCACCATCACGTGTCGGTGAGCCTAGTTGGTCCACCATCACGTGTAGGTGAACCTAGTTAGTCCACCATCACGTGTCGGTGAGCCTAGTTGGTCCATCATCACGTGTAGGTGAACCTAGTTAGTCCACCATCACGTGTCGGTGAGCCTAGTTGGTCCACCATCACGTGTAGGTGAACCTAGTTAGTTCACCATCACGTGTCGGTAAGCCTAGTTGGTCCACCATCACGTGTAGGTGAACCTAGTTAGTTCACCATCACGTGTCGGTGAGCCTAGTTGGTCCACCATCACGTGTAGGTGAACCTAGTTGGTCCACCATCACGTGTCGGTGAGCCTAGTTGGTCCACCATCACGTGTAGGTGAACCTAGTTGGTCCACCATCACGTGTAGGTGAACCTAGTTGGTCCACCATCACGTGTCGGTGAGCCTAGTTGGTCCACCATCACGTGTCGGTGAACCTAGTTGGTCCACCATCACGTGTAGGTGAACCTAGCTGGTCCACCAACTCGGGTAGGGGGGGTCGTAATTGGTGCACATTGTAAAACCGTCGTTGATGGTCTGTGATGTGAGTTAATCTATTTCAGTGGGACACGGTTGATATTTTACTTAAGTTTGTCCTAAAATTTCATAAAGCATAATTATAAGTTTTCTCTCGGTAAGAAAGGGTTAACTTCTTGAAATTAGTAGTATATACACGGGTGGTTGAGGAATGGACTACTCACTGATTGATAACCAAGAGGAGGAAGCAGTATTAAGCCTTGATACCATAGTGTGTGGGTGTTGCAGCAGTACGACTGTAATGTGTCACTGTTACAGGACTGTGGTGTTAAGAGTGGATGTTACAGTATACTGCCAGATTCTGGGGTCACTAAGTCTAAGGGGATAACTTAACTCTAATCTTAATTTCTAAGGGTCGCTGCCACCAGACCCCCTCTGGACAGCATGTAGCTCGTTAGGTAGCGTGCAGAGTGGACTAGGCATTGGGTTAGGTTTTCCATTGACCAGATCGATAAGGGTAAAGAAGGGTGAAACCATAACATGTCTTAATTGATATATTCCTTATAAAACATACTGGTAAAAAACATATACATGAATTGGCCTTCCTCAGAAGAACAACGAAAATGTGGTTACCCAGATGGGCCCCAGACTCTTACATTGATGGCGTGTCATCCACCTACTTATTGCATAACAATCTGTGACCACCTTACCTCGGTCATTCCTTCTTACACTATCCCTTAACACATCAGACTGCTCCACCTGTATGGAATATAGCACCGTCGGTTATCATACATAGTAGCACCATCTCAACACACATGTTACACTCCATACCTGCAAGTATGGGACTCCTTGTGACTTTTAGGTATACACAACAGGCACCTCGTTCGCACACCGCCCTCGGTGGGTAAAGACGAGGGCTTCACCTAGAGACATACCAGCACTATTTCTACGCCTGGTATTATAGGTCGCTCCAAGTGACGACCGCAGAGTTTCTCACGGTCTCCTTATTTGTGACTATTCATTTGGAGTGGTGTGCTGGAAATCCACAGGTTCACAGTGGATTGGCATAGCGGGGAGTAGTCACCACCTGTTGTGACGCTCAAAGGGATAATGGCGGCCGGGCGGCAAGGCACTCCGACCGCATGGAACCTGAGGTGACGGTAGAACGGGGAATACTGAGAAATAATGCCTAACGGGCGGTTATCCCATCCCCTAACACATTCCTATTACACTTATATATCCCGCAAAGCTTTAAACTGTAATAACTTCTATATATAAACCTTAATTATAGGGCGGGATATAGCCCGCTAGGACACTGACCTGAGGTGACGGTAGAACGGGGAATACTAAGGGCATTGCCCCGCCGCTCCTCATCACGTAGGCCTACAGTTTCCAATCTTTAATTTTCACTTTTGTTGCTTATGGTTCTCACCTGAACACTTTTCGGTATATTGTCACTCATGCCTTATAAACACATATTTTAATCCTAAATTACACACTAAGGTAAGGTCTTGGTTTGCTAGTTCGTGGATAAATTCATGGGGTTATAATACCAACGTGGCACCCAAGGCGGGTACATGACGCGCCTTGAAACAAAGGCTGAATGTTCATGGCGGGGATGTATCAACTTCACTTAAAACTGTAATGAGGGATCCTCCTCTCACACATTGCACTATTTGAACACAGACATAAGGTTCTCTGATCACTGTACCTGTCGTGGGCATATGTCACGTGAGGATACGAGGTGTATTAAGTCCATACCAACGCATAAAAGATATTTCCTTTCAAGTATAGTTTCTGGATCACTGTCAACACCTCACATAGTTCTGATACATTTATCCTTTCTCCAGATCATTGTTCTCATGTATTATCATATGATATCTGTGGAAGTTATGTTCGCTACACGCTCACAGACGTAAATAGTATGACCTTCAAACCCTGATTCACACTTAGTCCTACAGTACACTAGTCCAGCTCAACTAGACTTTAACATTCATCTTATGGATACCCTGAGTTCTCCTTAATGCTATGAATACATACAATTAATATGATATAACTGTACCTGGGTACAATACAACACATGGTCTGGTAACATTGAGTAGGTGAGTTATCCTTTATCAATGTTTCCCGTTTTCTGAGGTTCTACAAGCGCGGTGCATTTGAATGTTATATAGCGTAATATGAATTAAATGGGGTTTTTAGGAATGACAATGATGTGCGCAGTACAACAGGACTATGTGGTGGTAGTATGGGATTGCAGTGTGGTTATGTGGGTATTACAGGAGTACGACTATGTGGTGGTAGGCGGAGGCTCGGCAGGCAGCGTTTTGGCAGCTCGACTCAGTGAAGACTCAGAGGTAATGGTGCTGCTATTGGAGGCTGGCGGCCAGGAGACGCCTATGTCGGAGGTACCGGGACTGGCGGCCAACCTTCAGCTCTCTCCCATGGACTGGCAGTACAAGGCTGAGCGCTCCACCACTACCTGCCAGGGGATGTATGACACTAGGTCAGTACCCTGGTTAATATAGAGCAGGATAGGTTAGGTTAATATAGAGGAGGATAGGTTAAGAAGGTTAGGTTAAGAAGGTTAGGTTGGATTACAATGGGGTAAAATTATCGTTTCGGTCATCCAGCGAATTTTAAGATGTTTAGTTTGGGAATCCGTAGTTTAGACAATTCTAAGACGCTTCTTTTATAGCATTTCCGCAGGGAATTAAATCGAGTACTTTAATAAATAAAATTACCAACAATATATAGGGAGAAATAGAAAGAAAAAGAATCTAAAACTCTTCCGTCGGAAATTTATGGTTAGTTATTTTAACTTTTATAATATTCAGCCAATCAGCGCGTTGATGTGATATAGTCATGCTCGCCAATTAGCGTGAGTGCCGGTGACATAATATATTCGTGCATCAATCAGCACTCGTAAGTCCCAATTCTGACTGGCTGTCGAAGAAAGGTATCTTAGAATTGTCTAAACTACCGATTCCAAAACTTAAAATCCCCAAATTCGCTGGATGACCAAAACGATGATAATACCTAAAATGAAAAGGTTAGGTTAAGAGAAAGTTAGGATATTCTAAGCTAGGTATCTGAGCTTCGATTGCACGATTGATTGATTATTGTAGATGTAACCTGCCTCGGGGGCGTGTGTTGGGTGGGAGCAGCGCTATCAACTACATGTTGTACGCGAGGGGCAACAAGCACGACTACGACCAGTGGGAGGCTCTTGGTAACCCTGGCTGGGCTTACCATCATCTCTTGCCCTTCTTCAAGCTCTCTGAGGACAACACTGACCCAGCGGCTGACCCTGGTGAGTCTCCCTCTCTCTTTGTTTTGTACTAGCATTAATGCCGGTGGAAAGTTGTTTGGACACACTTCCTAGTTTCCCTTGGTCCCTGTTCACCTAGCAGTAAAGTAGGTACCTGTTGTAAATCGAAAAGTTGCGAATTCGTATTCAGGGAAAGTTGTTGGAGCTTCCAATAACTTACTGACAAAAACCTATGACTCTTCAGCTTCTACGCCCTTGACAAAAAAAAACCTATGACCCTTAGGCTTCTACGCCCTTAACTCACGAGACATAAAGGCAAGCATGAACTTAGCATGCTTCCCAGATGGGCGCTGTAAGCGCTTCTGCGCTTCACCTTGCACAGGATGTAGGGGGGTGCCCAATAAAAAAAAAACATTAATTTTTCCAGCTCTAATTGGGCCACTGAGAAATAAATTTATGCAACATCAGTTTTGTAATGACCATCACTAAGGTTTATAGAATTCATTTCCCTAATCAGACTTGCTTCAACCAGAAGTCTTTCTGTGACACATGTTGATTTAAACGCTTCTATACTGTTTTCCCGATCCATGGGATGATTATTGTTCCTTATATGAACGAACAGTGCACTGATTTCAGATGCTGTTCTAATATTACACTTGTGCTGTTTTATTTTGTTGCAATGCTTTCCCAGTCTGACCTACATAATTTCCATTACAATTGCTACATGAAATACAGTAAACACTTCCATTTGCATTCAAGGTTGGGCTGTTCTTAATTAATATATTAGCAATAGTTAAGTCATACTTAAAAACATTATTGTTTAGTAATTTAAGGGATTGAGCTACGGGACAAATTCATTGCGATAAGGTAGTCAAAATATTTGGGAACTTCATGTTTCCTATGTGCATATACATGGATCATGCGCACCCAGTGATTTATTTGAATATATATATATATATATATATATATATATATATATATATATATATATATATATGTGCTGATAACCACAAGGAAAGAAGAAAATACGAAGTTCCCAAGCGCTTTCGTGTAATTCACATCTTCAGGGGTGAGTACAGTCTGTACTCACCCCTGAAGATGTGAATTACACGAAAGCGCTTGGGAACTTCGTGTTTTCTTCTTTCCTTGTGGTTATCAGCATATACCTAGATCACCCCACCAGGACTCGAACCCACGATCTTTTGTGTGTGACTGGGGAACGTTACCTCTTACACCAATAGGACACTAAAAGTAATCCTAAACTTTGTTAGATTTCAAACAAGGCCTGTTCATCGAGCTTATGGCGCCGTGAACCTCTAAGGGAATTGCCCGTGCCACTTAAGTGATCAGAGAGTAGCGTTTTACCAAATCCGGCTTCGAAACACGAGGTTCCATATATATTTCATAAGCCCAATAAAGCACGGGATGAGGTTGGTGATTATATGTAGAAGTCCGCGTGCTTTATTGGGCTGATGAAATATATATATATATATATATATATATATATATATATATATATATATATATATATATATATATATATATATATATATATATATATATATATATATATATTACGAGGAATATGATATTAAGTTTAACATGTACTTGAGGCAGAGTACCACGGGAGTGGAGGTTTCCTGACGGTGGGTCATACTCCCTGGAACACCCCACTTGCCGCGGCCTTCGTGGAGGCGGGGCAGCAGCTGGGCTACGAATCGCGAGATGTCAACACTGCCCGCCAATCGGGCTTTATGGTGCCACACGGCTTCCTCAGACGCGGCTCACGATGCTCTAATGCCAAGGCTTTCCTGCGGCCCGCCAGCCTCCGCAACAACCTCCATGTAGCACTCGAGGCCTTCGTCACCCAAATCCTCATCGACCCCCTTACTAAACGCGCTCATGGCGTAACGTACGACCGTGCCGACCAAAAGGGACAGGTGGTGAAGGTGAGGCGAGAAGTGCTGGTGTCAGCTGGCGCCATCAACACCCCGCAGTTGCTGATGCTGTCAGGTATTGGTCCCGCCCACCACCTGGAGCACCATCGCATCCCCGTCATAGCAAACCTGTCTGTGGGATACAACCTTCAGGTAAGAAATGTCTACCTACGTCTCTCCTTGTTAAAAACTTCATTTTCGCAGAGTATTCACTGCTGTCCATATTTTAATGTCTTACCGCGAAAAGTGAGGGCAATCTATGCTATCTCTTTGTTCATTTGAACAAATTGCCGTTTTCAATAAAATAACCGATGAAGTTTTCTTGGATAAAAATAAAATCGTTATGTAGCTTCATATAATGAATAATTTGATCATATTCCATATCAGAAGATTCCACATATGTGTACTAACGTACGCTATTCAACATTGAAATTCTGGTGGACAAACATTACTTTCAGCAGGGAGGCCTTGTGCACTGTAAGGTAGTGACTGAGAAGACAAACGATTACACCTATACAGTGCTGCCCCTCACGGGTACCACGACACCTTAGAGCAGTGGTCCCCAACCTTTTGTAGGATCTAAGCCACATTTATGATTGTAAATATAGCTGAGGGCACCAAAACTTTGGATCTACGTCCAAGAAAAAAAAAAACTCATATGTACAGGGAGAAGTACATAACAAGGTATATATATACAGAGGGCGAGATCAAGTCCACAATGGTCAGGTATTAGGTAATGACCCTCCTCTGTATATATATACAGTACCTTGTTATGTACTTCTCCCTAGTCTGTACTCACCCCTGAAGATGTGAATTACACGAAAGCGCTTGGGAACTTCGTGTTTTCTTCTTTCCTTGTGGTTATCAGCAGCATATACCTGGATCACGCGCACCTACAGCGAATTACTTGCATATATATATATATATATATATATATATATATATATATATATATATATATATATATATATATATATATATATATATATATATAAGTAAATCATAAGAATAAGAAAAATGATGCAATACTTTCTAGGATATTATTACATAAGTAATGCATCGATATATATATATATAAGAAAATCTCCCTAAACATGCCAAAATAACTGCTGCTTGGGACAGAAAATAATCAAAACACCTAGTTTACTAACATTAAAATCCAAATTATATCTCGGCATAACATATTGTAGGACATTTCATTGCTTCGAGAAAACCGCGGTTAATATTCCTTAGTGACCCCATTCATGTGATATACCCTGTATATTTAGTTTTCGCTTTATTTTCACTGACAGAGTACATGTTCGGGCACGTGATACTCTTGCACATGCTCCTAATTCTTAATCGGCTAATTAGCGCAAGGGTCGATGTCACGTGAATTTGAATTGGTGACAAGGTCAAGTTGGCTTCTGCCTGTGAAGGTTGTTCTTTGGAAGACTGGCGTGTAATTCAACGAGTATTTGAGAAAGAAAGCACAACTTTTGACATCTTTAGGTCTAGTGGTGTTCTCCATGGTTCAGTAATGTGTCCAAGGTGTAATTCAGACTGTTTATCGTCAAGATCATCAAGCCTGGTATTGCAGTAAAATACAAGACACTCCCGAGGAAAGGAGATTACTTCTTTTGCACGGTATACATGTCCCAAGGTCAGGTTAGGTCCTGTTTTTTTTCTGGTTAGCTTAAATTAGGCATGTATACCGATATTTGACAGCCGTTATTGCGTGTTTTTACTTGGTAATTAGGGGGGGGGGGGTGTCACATCTCCAGAAGTTCTCCTTTCCGCTGGAAATAAAGGCTCTATTCATATGAAACCGTGAAAATCAATATAATTTATTTTTTAAATTAATTTCCGTGATTGGTCACAACGGAATATTTACCCCAACCGCAACTTACTTGCAGGAACTGTAGTTTTCGTACTTTTATTTTGCTGTCGTTTTGTCTCGAACACTATTGTATAATACGTCCACCCACGACATACCGCCGACGCCATTTTTCGCATGAACTGTTAGATACGAATTTATCCAGAGAACGTTTCATATACAAGAACGCCTCCAGCGACCATTCATAATATTCTATGTACAGTGACTGTAAAAAGTCCTGTCGCCTCTTCTGCTGCTCCACGTTCCCCGAGATTCATACTCATGAATCCGAAGCTTTTATGGACAGAATAATGCATCATTATCTACTGTTCATTTCGGGGTTCGTGGAGCAGCACGAGGCGACATGACTTTTGACCGTGACTGTACAACATAATCAAATTCCTGGACAAATGAACTAACATAACTAATCTAACCTAAGATATTACTTCACTGTTAAGTAAGTTAGGTTGGTTCATCTTAAATTGTATAATTCATATAATGTAGCAATCGCTGGTAACGTTCGTGTGCATGAAAATTAATGATCGCTCGAAACGTTTATGTAAACAATCGTAATGGCGTGCCGCGTTGACGGGAAGTTGTGGTGGACCTGGTGTTCAGCAGGGCGTAAGAAGGCCGCTTATTAAAAATACGAAAACTACAGCTCCTACAAAAAGTTATGGTTTTCTCGAGGAAATGAAGAACTTTATGTTTTTATATAAACCAAATGAAAAACCCCACTTGACGTGCTCTGTGTATGTGTTTATAGGACCATGTGGCCGCGGGGGTGATATTTATTATCAAGAAGCCCGTGTCTCTGCTTACTGGCCGCCTGCAGAACTTGCCGGCAATCTTCAAGTACTTATTTAGTGGTAGTGGCCCACTCACCACCCTGGGGGGCGTGGAGGGCATCGCCTTCATCAACACCAAGTTCGCCAACATGTCCGCTGACTGGCCTGACGTGCAGCTGCAATTCGTAGCGGGGTCTCACGGGTCTGACAGGGGCTCTCACCTGCTCGTGGCATTGGGCCTGCAGTCCGTCTACTGGTCTCACTACTACGCCTTTTTGGGTGACACCGACCACTTCTCCATTCTGGCTAAGCTTGCCAGACCCAAGAGTCGCGGCTACATCCAGCTCCACACCATAAACCCCTATGATCACCCCAAGGTAAGGACTTAATTTATTACACATATTGTACACACGGTAAAAGAAAGTATCTAGCCATACGGTATGTGTGAAACAATAGAACACCAAGGACGGTGGCTATTGAGATATGCCCGTTGGTAGTGACCCCCACGTTGGTCTCGCAATGTCCATCGTCCTTGTCATATTGTTCAATGTTCATACACCAGCTATGTTCTTTTTTTTTCTATTTTCTTTACTGTGTGCAATGATTAACTTTATTATCACAGTAATGTTTAAGTTGCAGTAGGTCAGTACAGTAGTGAGTAGTACTGTGAGCAGGGATGTGAGTATTGTTTTCATAATGACTGGATATTTTGCTGCGACCGGCTAAGCTCCCACTAACGCGATTTTACCTCGAGTGCGCTCTGATTGGCTAATCGTCCATTACCGGCGAACAGCACGAGAACTATATATTTGACCGTGACTGGCGGCATTTGGCATTTATTTCACCGTAAGTCGATCGTTGTGTAGCTATAAATATACCTAACCATATTTCTGTTATGTATGGAAACTTATTCTAAGATAGGCGAAATTTACTAGAGCCTAATAGAATCTGACCTAACCACTTAAAGAAACCTACCTAACTAACTTTACCTGACTTCCTAGCCGATGGGGGCTGACCCTCCCATCCTCATAAACAGAAAGTATAGTACTTGGCCAGTCTGAACCACTCGCGGTAAAATAGCGTTAGAAGGAACTTAGTCGGTCACGGCAAAATATCCACCACGTAATCATAATACTGCAATGTGATGGAAATAATTATATTTTTACTAGCGAATTTATTCCACAAATTGTACATACAGGGTAGATTGTAATTGGTGAATATAATAGGAAAGCGAGTTTCATAGACCTGACGGCCAGTTTGGGACTGTGGTTCCAGCACACTGAAAAACAAGTACAGTAAGCGTTATAGATGTGTCAGTACTGCACTCGACCGTCTTCACTTCGCCATTTATAAAGTTAGGTACCTATTTACAACTGGGTGGATTAGGAATGTCTGCAGAGCCAAGCTTCTTGGTATTACTTTGAACAAGTGTTTACACCAAGATGCAGATCCATCTCTTTGTCATGGTGAATGTGAGGGCACAACTTAACTTTCTGTTGTCATGTAGTGACGCTCTCACTCAGACCGGAGGCAGCTTGTGAAGGACAAGTCGACAGTTTTGTTAGTCCCGTTTATATTGTATAACTATTTTTTTTGTCAGTTCACACCGTTATTGTTCTCTGGTGATGCAATGCGTAATTCCTTAGTGTAGAACATTAATTAAGTAGTTTATTGAAATACCTGTTTGGTGAAAAGTTTTTGTATTCATAAATTAAAAAAATAATTTTCACTTGTTAGAATTTAGACAAAACTTTATTTAAAAAGAACTTGGAAAAATGTTAGGGTTTATACATGATGGTGCAGTGATTGTGTTGGTAAAACGTTATGAAACTCGTTCTTCAAGTGCCTTTCCCTTTAGTGCATCTCTCGGTCACAGTTCCGGTGAAAGTAAGTTGTTGGCATATGTGATGGTGACCTTCTCTAGGGTTGGCTGGGGATCTATATTAAGCAGGGCAGAAGGTACCTGTCTAAATATTTGGCCACATGCAGCTGGTGAACCCAAATAAAAGCGACCCATGTACTTATTACGAGTGCAGCCAGTGAACGTGTTACTACGTACTGTTGGTATTACCGGGAGACTTGCTTTATGTTCACCAAGTTTTATAATTACAACACAAAGGACAATGAAAGAAACTAAGAGGTTCCCTTCATATTCGTTCACCCTCACCCTCCGCCTTACCCCAGGGGCCTGGATAATTAAGACAAGGTGTTGTTGATCTTTTCTCTCGTGGTTTAAGAGTTTTTCGTGGGCTATGTGATGCAGTGTGATACCCAACCACTTTCTGTAGGTTACGGCTGGCCTCAAGTTGTTATGACACGCCATGTTTGATGGAGTCGAAATTTAAGTGTTTTGATCATTTCTATTTATTTTACATTGTAATTATTTGTAGATTTGTGGATAACATACAGCCTACCTACTTCAGTGTTCATGTTCTTGTTGAGATAATTTATCACTCCATGACTAGGCTAAACACCCGAACGCCATTTGGGGGGGGGGGGTTATGTTATGTTATGCTATGCTATGTTATGCTGTTATGTTATGTTAGCTAATCTTAAGGTGAAATAAACGGGGGTTAATCTTAGGCGACATAAACAGGGTGGCTAATCTTTGTGACATAAACAAGGGCTAATCTTAGGCGGCATAAACAAGGGGCTAATCTTAGGCGACATAAACAAAGGGCTAATCTTAGGCGACATAAACAAGGGGCTAATCTTAGGCGACATAAACAAGGGGGCTAATCTTTAGGCGACATAAACAGGGTGGCTAATCTTTGTGACATAAACAAGGGCTAATCTTAGGCGGCATAAACAAGGGGCTAATCTTAGGCGACATAAACAAAGGGCTAATCTTAGGCGACATAAACAAGGGGCTAATCTTAGGCGACATAAACAAGGGGCTAATCTTAGGCGACATAAACAAGGGGGCTAATCTTAGGCGACATAAACAAAGGGCTAATCTCAGGCGACAAAAACAAGGGCTAATCTTTGGCGACATAAATAAGGTGGCTAATCAGGCGACATAAACAAGGGGGCTAATCAGGCGACATAAACAAGGGGGCTAATCTTAAGGTGAAATAAAATGGGGTTGATCTTAGGTGACATAAGGGGGCTAGTGTACATAATCCGTGAGTGTTACAGTAATAGTGAGAAAGTCATATTTGAAGTTCACTCGGTTAACTGGCCGTTGACATCAGTAGTATTATGGGCTTGTTTAAGTATCTGTACTGGGACAAACTACACAGTACGTCGTTACCTTTAAAATACCTTGTTAGTATGGAAAACGTAATTCAGTATAGTCAAGAGATTATAATGTTTTCGGAGTTCAGTGGTACAGGAGTATGGAAGTCTGTTAATAGTGCTTTTGTTTCTAGCCTAGAGTGTGTGTGTTTAACGATCATCCACCTGTGATAGACTTGTATGGTGACACAGGCAGCAGGGTACCAGTAACACGGGGCATGGTGATACAGACAGCAGGGTACCAGTAACACGGGGTATGGTGATACAGACAGCAGGGTACCAGTAACACGGGGTATGGTGATACAGACAGCAGGGTACCAGTAACACGGGGTATGGTGATACACAGCAGGGTACCAGTAACACGGGGTATGGTGATACAGACAGCAGGCAGTAACACAGGGTACACCAGTAACACGGGGGTATGGTGATACAGACAGCAGGGTACCAGTAACACGGGGTATGGTGATACAGGCAGCAGGGTACCAGCAACACGGGGTATGGGTGATACAGACAGCAGGGTACCAAGTAACACGGGGTATGGTGATACAGACAGCAGGGTACCAGTAACACGGGGTATGTGTGCAGGGTACAGGGGTATGGTGATACAGACAGCAGGGTACCAGTAACACGGGGTATGGTGATACAGACAGCAGGGTACCAGTAACACGGGTATGGTGATACAGGCAGCAGGGTACCAGTAACACGGGGTATGGTGATACAGGCAGCAGGGTACCAGTAACACGGGGTATGGTGACACAGGCAGCAGGGTACCAGTAACACGGGGTATGGTGATAGACAGCAGGGTACCAGTAACACGGGGTATGGTGATACAGACAGCAGGGTACCAGTAACACGGGGTATGGTGATACAGACAGCAGGGTACCAGTAACACGGGGTATGGTGACACAGGCAGCAGGGTACCAGTAACACGGGGTATGGTGACAGGGTACCAGTAACACGTGGTATGGTGACACAGGCAGCAGGGTACCAGTAACACGTGGCATGAATGATTCAACACACCGCTGAATGTCACCTGACCGAGTCCATGTTTTTATATCTGTTGGCATCAATAGTTCATATGTAGGAGATTAAATTACTTGAGCGAGTTTATTTTTTCCATAAAAGTTATTTCGAATAATCTCCTTAAGACTGTTTCATCACTGGCTGAGGTGTAACATGAAGGTGAGTCAGCAAGAACATCTGGCTCCTCAGTGAACAGCGAACTGGGTCAGGTTACATCAATATGTCCATGGGTCAAATTATCTCTACAGAAACTTTGTGACTTTATAATATTTACGAATTAAACTGTATGCAATACCAAATTGATACGTAACGTAAGGAATGTTTTAGTTTTAGTGTGTTCACAATTCCACACACACACACACACACAGGTGAGGCTGAAAGTGCCGTTTCCCGCCTTCATGAGTCATCCTACCTAATGATGCCAACTCTTCCTTTTTGTGGAACTTTTATCAAATAAGTGATAAATTAATTACTACAGATGATTAACTATTTAAATGGTGGTTCGTAATCTAGGCAATTTATTTGCAATTATGACGGCTTAGGGTCGTTACACTAGGCTAGTACTCTCCTCTCTCGTGTATTCTTGGCTCTGTGTACATCCGCCACGGATGTTGTGTACACCCGCCACGGGTGTTGTGTACACCCGCCACGGGTGTTGTGTACACCCGCCACGAGTGTTGTGTACACCCGCCATGAGTGTTGTCACAAGAACGTAAGAAAATAAGGAGTCTGCAATAGGCCGGTTGGCCTGTGCATGGCAGCTCCTGTCGCAAGTTACTACCACTCTCTATCATCCATGAATCTATCTAGCCTCCTTTCCAGCGTTCCAGCACTAACTACAAAGTTGCTAAGCTTGTTCTTCTCGTCTACCACCCTATTTGTGAACAAGTTTCTTTCTATCTCCCTCCAAAACCTAAACTTACCCAACTTAAATCCGTTGCTACGAGTCCTATCCTGCCCTGATATTTAAAAAAAAAACTATCTATATCTCATTTATTGATTCCTTTCACCCACTTAAATACTTCTATCATATCTCCTCGCACTCTTCGTCTTTGTAGGGAATGCAAATTTAGTTTCTTTAACCTATCTTGATATGGAAGGTTTCTAAGTCCCGGAATCATTTTGTCATTCTTCCCTGCACCGACTCCAGTGAATTGATTATCCATTCTATAATAAGGGCACCAGAATTGAACCGCATAATCGAGGTGCGACCTAACTTGCGCAAGATATAGTTGCAATAAGACCTCTGCACTCTTATTACTTACACTTCTAGATATAAAACCTAATACTCTGTTTGCCTTATTTCGAACATTAACGCACTGTTTTTTAGGCCGTAGGTCCGGGCTTACAAGTACCCCTAAGTCTCTTTCACAAGTTGACTTCTCTAGGTTGATGTTGTTAAGGCTGTATACATTGACAGTATTTGTTCTTGTAATATTAAGTACGCTGCACTTGCTGGTGTTGAATATCATTTGCCATTTTTCTGACCACCCCTGCAGTTTATTTAAATCCTCCTGTAGTGCATTTGCATCCTGCCCTGAATTAATCTGCCGCCGTATTTTGGTGTAATCCGCGAACTTGCTTATGTCACTGCTGATCCCAGTATCTAGATCGTTTATGTAGATTTTGAACAAAAGTGGGTCCAGTACTGACCCCTGGGGAACCCCACTGGTTACACAGCCCCACTCAGATTTAACACCATCTACGCTGACCCTCTGTGTTCTATTGGTGAGCCATGATTTTATCCAATTTAAAACTTTCCACTCAATACCATGAGCCTTATCTTTTCTCAGAAGCCTCTGATGCGGTACTCTGTTAAACGCTTTGCTAAATTCTAAGTAAATGACCGTAATTTTCGTCATTATCTACTACCTCGAAGAGTTTCCTAAAAAACGTCAGCAGATTTGTTAGACAAGATTTTCCCTTTGTAAATCCATGTTGAGAGTCGTAGATTGTTTTTTCTCTAAATGCAATCGGATGTTATTTGCTATAATTGATTCAAGAAATTTCCCCTCTACTGATGTCAAACTAATCGGCTGGTAATTTGACGCTGATGCTCTGTCTCCCTTTTTGAATATGGGTACTACATTTGCCTGTTTCCAAAAGTCTGGCACAACTCCTGTGTCTAATGATTTTGTAAATAAATTTACGAGGGGTCCGCTACTCTTTCAAAACTCGAAGGAAAAATTCATCCGGCCCTGGGGATTTTGTCTTTAATTTATTTATCCTTTTAAGACCATCCTCTTTTCTGATAGTGATATTCTTTAATTTCTCTTCTTCATTTCCCCTAAATATCAGTTCCATCTCTGGCATTTCCTCATGAATTTCTTCTGTGAAAACTGATAAGAAGTAGCTGTTTAATGCTTTGCTTATTTTCTCACTATCATCGATCACTTCTCCTCTCTCTGACTTTAAAGGCCCCACTTTGTCCTTGACCTTTGTCTTATATACCTGGAAAAATCCCTTGGGATTCGTCTTGGATTCTCTTATCGTGATTTCGTAGTCCCTCTTTGCCTTCCTTACAATTTTCTTAACATTCCTAGGTAGTTCATTATACCTATTTCTGAGCTGCTCCTCCCCTCCCTTTAATTTCTTATAAATTCCTTTTTTATTCTTATGTCATGTTTAAGGTTTTAGGTCATCCACCTTGGTTCATTCTTATTTGACCAAATTTTTCTGTATGGTATATTTTGTTCCTGTGCTTTACGTAGTATACTAGTGAATATATTATTGTCATGTATTATAGTGCACCTGCCACGAGTGTTGTGTGCACCTGCCACGAATTGTCTCCCGCACAATACTTAAGGTTGACGAATGAAGTACAATGTGTGTGTCCTGTGCAACCTCACATCTTTTGCTGACCTTCACTCAACAACAACTTTGGCTTCTGAGGATCAGGGGGGAACAAGCCTCCTCCCCAGCTGACTCAGTTACGGTTCTCCCCAAGCTACCAGAGCGCGAGAGCTTACTGTATATATTTGGAGTCGGTTTGATTATGAAAAGTAATCTGAAGATCAGTTCCCCATGTTCATTTTTATTAATTCTGTTAAGAGATGTTAAAACAGCAGCATCAGAAACTATTATCTCTCTCGATTAATGTTTGTGGTTATTCCCGGACCAACGTCAATGGGTAACGGAACAGACTGCAGATAAACACGCGGTCGTATTGAATAAGTTTTTGCCTTAGAATGAATAAATCAATAAATTAGTTCAACAGTCAATGATCTGAAGATGAGTTTATTCTTAAGTTTAACAGTTGCTGTGTTTATATTGACCATATGCATTAATAAAGTTTCGTTATGGCTTGACAGCGGTCTTCTGACGATAACTCCTTAGATGAAACTGGACGCCATTACTTGTATGTTTGGCCTGACTTTAAATATCAGATGTCACAAGTGAGCTGAATGTGTAAAACTAGACGACAAATGCTGACATGGTGCACATTTGGAGGAGTTTTTGATAGATTCGAAAGCTGCACACATCAGGAAGGAATTCTCTGGCCGAGTGCAAAAAGAGCCGGTGTCAAAAAATGCCAATTTAAACTTTTGTCCAAGTAACCCAAGTTTCATGGGCCAAAGTCTAAATTGGCATTTTTTTTTATATTAGCCCTTTTTGCACTCGGCCAGAGAATTATATATGAAGTTTGTGCATGGGTAGTGACCATATAAGCTACACAGTAAAAGGCGACAGTACAAAAATCTACCAATGTGTGGGATTTAAATTCTTCCTAATCCTGTGTGACCAGAATCATGATTGACAGAAATGGTATGCAAAATGACGTAGCTAATCGTTTACTTAGCCATGTGTACAGTTACAAACAAAAAGTCCTGTCTCCTCTTTTGCGACTCCATGAACCTCGTGAACCCGAAGCAGTAGATACTGTTGAATTATTCTCTCCATAAATGCTTCGGGTTCACGACTCTGAATCTTGGGGCTCGTTAAACAGCAAAAGAGGCGGCAAGTCTTTTGTTCGCGACTGTACTTGACAAGGAACTGCTAAAAACTTTCAGAGCGATTACAAGGAGAAAGTAAGTGCAGACTTGTTGTGTTACATAAAGATTCCAGCTACTGCCTGGAGGAGGCTGGCCTCTTCCGGAATATATAAGTTATTTCTGTAATCTTTTAAGTATAGTTACAACTTTATAAATTTTATTAGTTTTGTTACATTATCTTGAAATAAAACCTAATTTTACGTGAATACGGCGTCATAAGACGGTCTGTTACACCGCCGGCTTTACTGTATATAAGTCGATCAATCGACAAGAAGTTTTTGTCCACAAACTATATAACTTGCAAATACTCGAGTCTTTTATTTTGTACACCAAATAGTTTTTTACATTCTTTTATTTGTGTAGAAACACAATTCGCACCTATCTGCTTCACACCTCATACCATGTAATCTCAAGTCATAGATCCTCGTCTCATGGAATATAATAATAAAAAAAATCCGCTAAAATGATAAAAAGAAGGGAAGATATGCAGGCATGACCCTTGCATTAGCAAACATGTTTTCCTGGTTTATCCTGCTTTAAGTTCTGAGATGGGGTCTAAAGAGAACTCTTCACCTGTATTATTGTAGTAATAGTTTTAGTAGTTGTAGTAGGGAGAGGAGGCGTGAAGGGCTATAACTTAAAAACTGTTCACCTGATTTCCCTGGGAATTTAGAAGATGAAGGCCATAGTACCGGAAATATGGACGTGAAGTACTAATCGGCCTAACTCGATATTGCAGTTTTGACATCTTGATTTTGGTGACCATGTCGATGGTCTTGATGAACTACCGAACTACCGTACTGTAAAACTCTTCCCGTTCACCTTTTGCCTTGGATACCCAACAACACTGAATGTAACCGTGAGGACCCAAGATGTCAGTCCAGTATGTTAGGTTATCCAAGGTTAACTTCTCTGACGAGGCTGTATAATTGACCTCGTTTATAAGTCTGTCAGTGAGTTTTGAAAGTACAGTAACTCCTTCGTTTTAAACTGAATTCTGAAACTTAACGGGAATGTTATTCTAAGTAGTGTCTCGGGTAGGACAGCACTTGAGCGGTTCGTCACATCGACAGTATCACGGTGACCGGAGTTTTAATCTAAATTGAATATTCTTAGTACTTCCTGTAGTATAACTTATGTGAAGTGATGGGGGTGTATGGATCAGTAGAAGATCAATAATACTGTATTATCAAAATATTCTAAATATGGAAGCATCAAGTGGGTATGGTGTTGGCAGATCGTGACCAACTACCTGGAGGAGGAGGAGGACATGCAGGTGCTGCTTGAGGGGCTCAAGTTCGTCCGCCGATTGGGAATCGCTCCGGCCTTCACCAGGTAAATCTGCTTAGCTCACCTTTACTACCTGTGTTGCCTCCAGTGTGCTGGTTGGACTCTACCCCAAGTTGATTGTCTACGACCAACCGAATTCCATTAATGATTCAGTAAAATTGAGAATAATATGTTGTCTGTGTGTTGTACTGTACATTCTGTCTGACTGAGACTTGTTGCTATTATGTTGTATGTATCACGTGGCGCTCTGCTTCTCCCCATAGTACTGTATTGTGTAACTATTAGTTCTTCAAGACGTACTAAGTGGCTACACCTAAAACTTTGTACAGCCTTCGTTAGAGGGAAGGGTTTTAGTGTTACAGTAACTGTGTGTGTGTTTGTGCTTGAAACTTTGCCACACGAAAACACCTTCGTTACTCGGTTTATGCATCTGTTGATACGGTGAACGCTGGCCACAAGTCCAGCACACACAACACCGGGCCCTTCACTTATCTAATATTCTTCCCCAGATCTAATGTGTTAAGGTAGGTTAACTTAATTAATTTTTTAAACTAAACAACATGGTTGATTTAGTCAATATATTTACCTTATTTACCTAATGGCAACTCCCCCTCCCCCCGTAGCCATGTCGAGGGAAGGGTCGATGTTTTCCCTGATGAATCGGTTTATTTTATTTAATGGTAGTATATTTGTATTTACTATAACACTATTGATACAGGTGTATTATGTGTGTTGCTCGCACTTAATAGAGCCTTTGTATTGCCTGTGAATTATTATGCTTGATGACCTCGATAATTGGTAAATAGTATATGTCGAGCCCATCTGGCAGAAAAATGTGCCCCTGTAATCTAAGATCTCTCGCTACGCTACTGTTCATGACTCACCCGGGTGTAGGATCATTTTCGTACCAAACCCAAAAGATCTCCTGGTGGATGAAAACTGAATGATGACGTCTGACTTAGTATCTTCCTTGCCCGTTGTGTAAGGGTCAGGGTTGTTGCAGGGAGAAAGGGTAGTCTTCATCTTGTGGGTCAGGGTTTACTTACCCTCAAGACAAAGGTGTTCCTGTTGAGGATTGTTATATCCAGGTTCATTTACAAACTGGGAGGTGAATATCAATCTTTAGTTCTGTTACGTTGTGTACTTATTCATACTCTACTGCCATTACTATTTCTACAAGAGTAATTGTTTTAAATCTCTGTGTACAGTATTAGCACATGTGTATAAACTATAATGAGTATTTTGGATAGTTTCCATCGTGTTCTGGGGTTTCATGCCAGGCAGGTGAGGGAGTATGCGGGTTATACAAATGTTGTATTACACAAGGTTAACTTTTTTTTACGGACATTAGCCCACCCGGGCACAGGCCACTGACCCACATTGGGACCTGGGGGGCGAAAATGCAATAATAATTCATAGTAAATAAAATTTATAATAAGTAAAATAATATTAACAATAATACTAACACTAATAATAATAATAATAATAATAAAGACAAAAATTATAAAAAAAATAGTGAGAAACGCTGTATGTATGTTGTGTTGTCAAAGTAAGAAACAATTGTGTGTAAATGAGGCAGAAAGTCAGATGAGCAACCTGGGACTTGGTCACAATTTTTGTGATGCCATATAGCAGCAGGGTCTACCATTAGACAACACATTATGCTTCCAATATCTTCCCAGGCGGTAGTACCTCCCTGTTTGGTAGCTGCCTTCTACCTCTACGGCTACAAAAGTCAATCGATGAAACATGACGAAGGCAATTGCCGGCTGGTTTGTCGAAGATACTTCCACTAAATTAATTCGCTTTTATATAATATTCTTAAATGTTCTTTAATGTTAAAGATGATTTATTTTTACTAATTTATAACCTATCACTTAACCATCTTGGGTGACGTACTGTACCCCCACAGTGGGTCCTGGTATACTCCCAGTATTGTATACCCACTTGGGTCTTCTCTCGTCAAACAGTGATAGGCGGTCAGTCTTTACAAATACTGTACTTCTCCCTCCCTTCCACACCGTGTTTGACTAGTACAGTAGTCAACTTAGTGATTGTGTGTGGCAACAGGTTTGGATCTCGACTGTTTAAGCGCCACCTTCCTGGGTGTACACACTTGGACATGGAGACCGAGGAGTACTGGGAGTGCACCATCCGCTTCCTCACCTTCACCCTCTTCCACTACTGCGGCACCGCCAAGATGGGGCCTTCCACCGATCCCGCAGCAGTCGTAGACCCTCAGCTCAGGTTTGCACCTCGCCTTACTCACCTTAATCCTTAACCTAGGTCGTTTAGTCTCTTGGGGTCAGCCTCTATTTCAGGTCACTCAAATATCTTAAATCACTTCAAATCAAATGAGTTCATAATTAACAAAAATAATAAAAATATATGTAAAAAAATATCCTATCAACAAGAGACCATCACCATCAATACCATACCCGACACTATAAATAACACCATCAACAACACAACCACACCATCACCCATTATTACCACTTATCACTAACCATACCATCACTAACACCACCACCACTGTCATCACTAATAACACCACCACCAGCACTGTCATCACTAATAACACCACCACCAGCACTGTCATCACTAACACCACCACCAGCACTGTCATCACTAACAACACCACCACCAGCACTGTCATCACTAACAACACCAGCACTGTCATCACTAACACCACCACCAGCACTGTCATCACTAACACCACCACCAGCACTGTCATAACACCACCACCAGCACTGTCATCACTAACACCACCACCACATTGTCATCACTAACACCACCACCATCATTGTCACTGTCATCACTAACACCACCACCAGCACTGTCATCACTAACACCACCACCAGCACTGTCATCACTAAACCACCACCAGCACTGTCATCACTAACACCACCACCAGCACACACCACCACCAGCACATCACTAACACCACCACCAGCATCATCACCACCACCACCACCAGCACTGTCATCACACCACCACCATCACTAACACCACCACCAGCACTGTCATCACTAACACCACCACCATCACTGTCATCACTAACACCACCACCATCACTGTCATCACTAACACCACCACCATCACTGTCATCACTAACACCACCACCAGCACTGTCATCACTACCACCACCAGCACTGTCATCACTAACACCACCACCAGCACTGTCATCACTAACACCAGCACTGTCATCACTACACCACCACCAGCACTGTCATCACTAACCACCGCCAGCACTGTCATCACTAACACCACCGCCAGCACTGTCATCACTAACACCACCACCATCACTAACACCACCACCATCACTAACACCACCACCAGCACTAACACCACCACCAGCACTAACACCACCACCATCACTAACACCACCACCAGCACTAACACCACCACCAGCACTAACACCAGCACTGTCATCACTAACAACACCACCACCACTGTCAACTCGCACACAGGCCGGCGGGTTTCCCTCACGACCATGGTGTGATTTGCAGGGTGTACGGTGTGTCTGGCCTGCGTGTGGTGGATGCTTCCATTTTCCCAAGAATCCCGACAGGCAACACCAACGCCCCAGTCACTATGGTGGCCGAGAAGGGTGCCCACATGATCAGGAGCTACTGGGCAGAGGCATCCATGACCCCACCCACCACCAACGCCAACAACAACAACGACGAATTGTGAAGTTGATGGTAGTGACCGAGTGAAAGGACTTCCTGCTGTTGTGGGTACGATCTTCCATCGAAGCTCCTGTAATTGTCACTCGTTCCTTGGATGACAGCAGCCTTCGCTACAAAGTGCTCGTCTATTTGGACTGACTACATGACCTCGATACCCAAACGCTAACCAACTCCCTTACCTGTCTGTTAGCCATGTTAAAAATCTTCATATTTGTTTTTTTTTTCAAAAATATAAAGAATAAGGAGGTTGCAGTTATTTTACCAGCATCATACAGTTGTTGTTGACTTATCTGGTTTTATTAATCTCTCCTTCCTCTGAGATCCTGCGGAGGATAAGTTCTCATTATAATCAACTTTTTACGGGCATTTTTCACGCTTGTGTGGGTTGGGTGCGATTATTATCTAATGGCTACTCTCCATGCTGTATGGTCTCGTGCAGCCTCTTTCATCAAGTTATTATCTCTGAGGTAATTTCTTATAACTTCTCGTGTAATTTTTAGCCTAGCCCCTAGTTATCCTCCCCTCCATATTTAGTCTCCTATACATCTCTTGACCCATTGGCCTCCTCCATTCTCTCCACATGCTCAAACCATTTCAGCCTACCTCTAAGCAAAACTTTGTCGGTATTCTCAATACCCAGCCTCCCTCTTACCTCTGAACGGGTCCTCCCTTTTTTCAGTGTCACATTGCATATCCACCTCCCCATTCTTATTTCACCTTTCACAAGCTTGCGTATGTTATCCATTTTAACCTTTTATGTTTCACTCTTACAACAACACACTTCTCCCATCAGTTGCATACATCTTTCCTTTCACGCGGAGAAAGGTCCTCTTGTCAATAAAGGCAGCAACACCCTAAACTTCCTCCAGCCATTTCTGAACTCGTGCACTAATCATATCACCCAGGTAGCAGACTACAAACATTCTGAAAATTGCCATTTACTCCATTTTGTGCCTCTTGTGTACCCAACTTCCTCACTCACTGCACATTATTGAGTTGCTTCCAACACCTTTCTTAAGGCATCAACTGCCGTTTTCCCACTTTCCACCCGGGTCACTCGCCCACACCACTTATCAATGCTTCTGTATGCGCCACACTCACCCTCATTCCCTTTAAATGTATTCCATCCTTTCATTTCTTTTATTTCCCCACTGTCTCTTCAATAATATGATGATAACACCAAGTCATCAGCATACAACAACTCCAAGGGCAGTCCAATCCTAAAACCCCGTGATAGCGTCTCCTCCATGATGAATAGAAGAGGGCTCAACACAGACCTTTGATACACCTCTACTTTCACCTCATATTCCTTACTTTTTCACCAAGATCTCACCGTCGACATCGTCTGATGCTTTCAGTACGTCGACATCGTCTGATGCTTTCAGTATTAATGCAACTATTTCAGAGCTTCTAGATGTCTTCCCATTCTTCATTTAGTTAATCGCTTCACCTATTCACTTCTAAGCCTTGGCTCTATTACCCTTTGCCTGGCCCTGTCCAATTTGTACATCTCACTTAGCAATTGATTATAATATTTGCTCCAAGCATCCTTGATTCCCTCATTATGAACAACCACATTACCATGGTCGTTTCCCAATCACTGCTCAACACCAACAACAACTTTGTTTCTACCCACTGCTTGTCTTGCTAATCCGACTACCTCGCTTCTTGCGTCCACAATACTGCATTAAGTATATCAGTCCTATGCATCCTGTTCACATTTCTAAGCCTTGTAAACATCGATTCTGATCCTCCTACGCTTGACCTCCAGGTACTCTTCCTCGTCATCACCCATCTTCCAGGCCTTATAAATTTTTATTTATCCTTTAGCATTGTCCAGTTTATCATTCCACCACTATGTTGCTGCATACCTAGCTGGGCCCTTTGTCCAGCCACACATCCTTAAATTTTGTCCAGCATCTCGCTACACTACCCCTTGCGCTGTCGCTGGCTGATGACACTTTTCCCAGTTCAGCCTAAGATGCTTCGCTTACATTCTGTTCCTTCAATTTCCATACTATGCTTCTCGAAACATGTACCTTCCTTTGCCTGCACCTTTAAAGCAACACAAGTAATCTGTGCTGCAAGACACATTCTTCCCCTGCTATCACTTTTACATCCATAACAAGTTTGTCTGATTTCTTGACAAGTATGTTGTCAATTTGGGTGTTTGTGGCCCCTGTCTACTCGCCATCTTCTTAAACCATAATCAGTGTATCCGAACAGTGTCCCCCAAACTCCTGTACTATTTCCCCTTCCATATTGCTTGTGTTATAGCCTTTTCCACCATGCACACCTTCATAACTCGGTGTGTAAACCATCATGATGGTATTGGTATCGCCCAGAAGTACAATTTCCGACATTACGGACACATATTTATCCCAGAAATTGTCCTTCTCTTCCTCACTTAACTCAACTTGTTGGGCGTATGCAGATATAACAGTCACCAGATTCTTGCCTTTTAGTAGCTTCAGACCATAATACTCTACTCAAATTCACCCTTTTCACCGAGTACTTTCTTCACCCACTATTCTACTGGACACAGTTTATCAGGGGGTGCAGGGAGAGGCAAGGCGACATGTACTGTATTCAACATATCTTTCTGCTCCATCACTAAACAAACCCATTGTGTACGGGGTCCCCTCTTAGCTGAATAAAGTCTCTCGTTAGCCAAATAGAATATTAAAAATGGCGTCCTTGTAGTGAAGGGCTAAAACAGTTCTGCTCAACCACTTAAAACACGTGTGTTTCATCACATAAATATCTACCCATTTAATCTATTTTTAAGAAGTAATGTAACTCGGTGTTGATGTATGGCGTTTTCTGACAATAACAGTGCGTGTGCTGGAAGGTTATTGTGCCTATGTTTACTATATTAACGTCACACTTTGGTGTCGCTAGAGGGCTTAAAGTAAAAATATGAGCGTGTTGAAAATGGATGAAAGTATAGAGTGACGCATAAGTCGCTTTACTTATAGTGATGGGGGGGGGGAACGGAAAGAAATTGTAAATATAGAAGAAAAAAAAGGTTACGCTGTATTAATCTACACCACGAAGATGCCGGAAAACCAGCTTTTTAAAGTGAGACAGATTGTAAGAGCATGGAAACACAGAAGAAGGCAGAGCATTCCACAGTTTGGAAAAGCCAGTGTGTTGTTGTACACACGGGGGTGGTTGGCGGCTGTTACGTTTTAAATGCAAGAAAGTGGTTTTCTTACCGTAGAACTCGGATACCTTCACACTGATTACTCACCCAGGAGATTATGGTGTATCACTCCTTAGAATTTCACTCTGCTTCCGGCATTCAATGCGTTGTGTACTTGATAAATGATGATTTAATGAATTCCATTAATTTCCAACATCCATCTAAGTTTTTTATTATACTTTGTCATAACCAGTCAGTTATTACCTTTGGTAATAATAATAATAATAATAATAATAATAATAAGGAAGGGATCACAGATACGGGCAGATAATTGCACTTAGGTTTATTTGGCACAATTCCATACACTGGACATATAATTTGCATGGATAGGTCAGTCACTCACATTCGCGCCACAGTACCGTAAGTTATAAGGGAGAGTTTGTCAACCTGGGGAATTAATCGTTTAGATCTATTAGGCCGGCCTGGAGTGCTCTTGTAGCAAACAAACCCTCACCATTGATCACTTCCTTCACAGGATGCATTAACTTTCGCTGGACTTGACAACGATCTCGGGGATTTGCACGCACAGACTCGTAACACTGGTAGGACTGTATGGTCCCTGTTCTAAGTCCGTGGAGCAGGAGGTCTACTCACACCCGAGGTCTAAAGCCCACTGACTAAAATGTGGTTTTTGAGGCGTGAAATGATGATCAGTTCAACACTGTCTCACTGGCCTCCCCTTATCGGCTGGCCGGGTACCTTATCTCTACCTAAACAAACTTTTGGGATGAGTTATACGGGAGGCCCAACGCAACCCATGACAGCGGCACTCCTAGTCGGGCGCCGGTAGCTAGTAGGTGGTCGGCAGTGGCGGGTGCGGTACGATCACCATGGTGTGTCGCAGGAATAATCGCAACGCAAAGAGCATAGCGTTGTGTACTATAATAATTGCTGCTATGTGCAAAAAGAAGAACCAAATGCAGAAAAGGGAATGGTGCAAAGAGTGGTTAGGTCAAAGAAAAGTATTGGGAAGTCATGCCACGATTTTACGCGAACTGCAAGATGGACATGAGCAAGACTTCACCAATTACATGAGAATGGACCCCAACACCTTTCACAAACTTCTAGCGAAAGTGGAACCATATATAAAAAAAACAGGATACCAATATGAGGGAGAGTATATCTGCAGAGGCTCGTCTAGAGGCAACGCTCGTATATCTTTCAACTGGGTGCACCTACACGTCACTACAGTATAGAACGAGGATATCAAAACAAAGTTTGTCTCGCATAATACCTGCAACTTGTCAAGCCATGTATGAAGTACTCAAGGAAGATTACTTGCAGGTGAGATTTGTAGTACATAAAAATTTATTGAATAATGTTAGAATTATGGCGAGACTGAGAAACTGACAACCAGGGTCAACTTCGTTTGTCTGGCAGAGTCGTCGCTCCATATCCGGCAGCAAACCACCAGGCAGGCGGACCATGATTTCGCTCAACGACGGGCACTCCGCTGGTTCGCCCGCCAAATTTGCCCGATAACGGGCATTTAGCACGTGCCCGCCGGGCGCTGCTCGATCGTGTGGACGGGCCTTAACATGTGTTCTTACAAGACAATACATGCAGATTGTTCTATTATTTTTAAAGGGAGAATAAAAGTTCCAGTATAGAGATGATTTTATTTTCAGTATTTTTTTTATGCATAAGCTGCAGGCAAGGATTTTTCTTATTGATATCAAAACAAAGTGAAAGCAAATCACAGGTGTAAATATAACACTATTAAAAACATGACGAATCTTGTAGGCAGGAGTAAGAGGGGTGATTGGTGAGTGCCATTACTCCGTAGTGTTCATCGTCATAGAATGAGTGTGTGGGGCACGGTACTCTGCCGCTCGACACCACATCGTACACACCAAACTCAAACCTACACACTCCAAAGTTCACGGAGGACGGTTGCCTTTTGATTGTGTGTAGTGAAGGTTTCTTGGACGATCTGTTGGAATTTACTCTTCTCCTCAGTGGTGCAACCGTTACATCCATTGGCGACGAGTTCCGGCAGTACACCTAGAGGGCGACAGTGTGCGTTATTGTAGTTTTAACCTTGAATAGCTGGTCACAAACACAGCAGTAAATAAGAGTATCGTTTATAGTACACACCAATCCTGACCCAGGACGGAACTGTTTGATAAGTTGGTATTAGTTACCAATCAAATTGAAGTTTGGAAACAAGAATTATAATGTCTGATAATCGCATGAATTGTACAACCTAAATGAAAGGTATGCAGTACATAAGGCTGTGAACTTCTTATTATATAGCTAAAGCGTTTAGTAGTAGTGTGGGTTACTGTGAACCATACCACTACCATCACCTACTGTAGCTTGTGTTTCCTTAAGACTATACCATTTATGGAGGTAACAGGAAGTGTATTAGTTTCCTCCATTGAGGAAACATATACCGGTAATTGAATCTTTTATTTCAAATATCTGCAGGTAACCTAAGGTGGCGGAGGTTGATTACTTACGTAGGAGTCCAATCATCTTTGCAGAACAGTCTTTCGTTGGCGAAAAGATTTTATTTTTCGTACAGAAAATTAGAGCATCGAGGCCTGCTGGGCTGGTCAGCTGCTGGATCTCATTCTGGCTGAGATTTCTTAGGATGTCATAATTTATTTGAGCAGTCACGACGACCACCATCGCCAGCAGCACACACACACTGGTCTTCCTGAAAAAACAAGAACACCGGTTATCTTTGCGTGTGTGATTAGGGGGAGTTATAAACAGTGGGTAATAAATTGTCTTCCAGCCATAGTGGAGGAAGATGGTGGTTGTGATGGTCAGGGTGGAGGAAGATGGTGGTTGTGATGGCCAGAGTGGAGGAAGATGGTGGTTGTGATGGCCAGGGTGGAGGAAGATGGTGGTTGTGATGGCCAGAGTGGAGGAAGATGGTGGGTGTGATGGCCAGGGTGGAGGAAGATGGTGGGTGTGATGGCCAGGGTGGAGGAAGATGGTGGGTGTGATGGCCAGGGTGGAGGAAGATGGTGGGTGTGATGGCCAGGGTGGAGGAAGATGATGGCCAGGGTGGAGGAAGATGGTGGTTGTGATGGCCAGAGTGGAGGAAGATGGTGGTTGTGATGGCCAGGGTGGAGGAAGATGGTGGTTGTGATGGCCAGGGTGGAGGAAGATGGTGGTTGTGATGGCCAGGGTGGAGGAAGATGGTGGTTGTGATGGGGGTGGAGGAAGATGGTGATGAAGGCCAGGGTGGAGGAAGATGGTGGTTGTGATGGCCAGGGTGGAGGAAGATGGTGGTTGTGATGGCCAGGTGGAGGAAGATGGTGGTTGTGATGGCCAGGGTGGAGGAAGATGGTGGTTGTGATGGCCAGGGTGGAGGAAGATGGTGGTTGTGATGGCCAGGGTGGAGGAAGATGGTGGTTGTGATGGCCAGGGTGGAGGAAGATGGTGGTTATGAAGGCCAGAGTGCCTCAGATATTATCCAAACAAGTAAGCAAACAAACAAGCAGGAAAGAAAACACAAACAAACAATCTGAACACCCACTGTGTACTCCTTTCGGGATCCATATTCTGGAGGCTCTACCTTCCCCCAGTTCCGAGACACACGGGGTGTTGACTAAGGTGGTGTTGACTGTGGTGGTGGTGGTGACTGGTGGTGGTGTTGACTAAGGTGGTGGTGTTGACTAAGGTGGTGATGTTGACTAAGGTGGTGGTGGTGACTGGTGGTGGTGGTGTCTGTGGTGGTGTGTTGACTAAGGTGGTGATGTTGACTAAGGTGGTGGTGGTGTTGACTGTGGTAGTGGTGGTGACTAAGGTGGTGTTGACTGTGGTGGTGGTGGTGACTGTGGTGGTGGTGTTGACTAAGGTGGTGATGTTGACTAAGGTGGTGGTGGTGACTGGTGGTGTCTGTGGTGGTGGTGGTGTTGACCGTGGTAGTGGTGGTGACTGTGGTAGTGGTGACTGGTGGTGGTGTTAACTGTGGTGGTGGTGGTGGTGACTGTGGTAGTGGTGGTGACTGTGGTGACTCAGGTGGTGGTGTTGACTAAGGTGATGGTGACTAAATTGGTGGTGGTTGTGACCAAATTGATGTGGTGGTGACTAAGGTGGTGGTGGTGGCACAAAAGTCTGAGATGAATGTGTAGATGTAAGATCACACACTACTTGACCACTGCTGTCAAAACACAAAATAACCTGGATCACACAAAAATTAACCCCGATTATTTTACAAGATGATTAAATAACCAAACGTTAACTGTGGGTTAGGTAAGATGAAATAAGCTGGGGCTAATCTACAGGTGATCCAATAACTTGTCGATACAACGTCAGAATCAGTCTTTTGAAATAAATGCGCATCTTAATAATTATAAACTCCAGCAAAGTCACCAGGGACGCCCAGTAGGTGAAGGTTGGGAGATTACTATTAAAGTTTAACCCAGATAAATCTCCCTGACCTTTGACTGTCACATCTGATCTACCCAGTCCACAAACTGTACAGCAATATATCTCTACCCTTTAGCGTCTCTCCCTCTCTCCAGACTGAACATAACATCACACAGACCATCTACACTGGTGGCATTTTAAACACCGTGGGAGTGCTGTCATTTACTCCGCCTAACGGTAACACAATAGAGGAGTTAGAATCAACAATTGAATCATTGGCCATACTCACAGCCCTGAAACTTGTTGAAGACACTGCCAGTCTCATCATCAGACTCCTTATCCTTTCTCTTGATACCCTGAACTCGTATTGTCACTATTGTCTCTGAAGCCAGACAAAAACATAACTAGTCTTGTTGACGGGGTAGCAGCATCAAGCCGCTGTGGATCCCCTCTCATATAGGCTTCGGTGAATATGATAACGAGTTAATGCCTTAGCTAAACTCGCGTCCAACACAGACACTGTTGAATACACTCTGGGTCTGTTAAACATAACCGTAACACTGTAATCAAGGTCGAACGAACTTGATGAATTTGAAGCAAGGAGACAAGTGCAAACAGGCACCAGTCAATCCATTGTCTATTATGATGATATGCTTCAAGTAAAATATGTCACAAGATCACTAGATTACAAGATGATGTAACCGTTAGACTAAGGTCAGGATAGAAGTACTGCCCCCGAGATATGCTAGGGATTGTCAGTTGATTGAACATGTCCAAAGGAGGGTCACCAAACGGGTGCTTGTACTCCGGCACCTCCGTTATCTAGAAAGATTAAAGCGCCTGCAACTGCCTAGCTTATACTACACACGGGCAAAGGGTGACCTAATTGAGGCGTATAAACATCTCGAAGGGCACTTCTCAGTCGAGTGTCCATACCTGGAGCTGGCTGACGCTCGCCCCACAAGGAGTCATAGCTCAAGGTTGAAGAAGTCACAGGTCCAGAAAACTGTGAGGGCAAACTTTTTCGGATTGGGAATTGTGTTCTCTGGAACAACCTGCTAGAGTGTGTTGTGACATCGAGTGTGAGCTCTTTCAAGACCAGACTTGACCAACACTAGAGCAGGTTTAGATACATCCAAGAACCATTACATGTTCAATACTTGCCAACAGTGCGTAACAGAGACGTGACCGACCGCCCAAACGGCTAACGAGCCGATCAGTGGTGAAGAGGATAAAAGTAAAGTTTAAGAAGATGTGGTCAAAACTAAATGTAAAGTGTGCGGCCAGACATATCGCCACACACTGAACTATACAAACAATGTACTGCAAATTTTCTAACATTGAAAGCCACAATATCCTAACCACTGAAATAACAATAAGTGACGGTGTGTGAGGGCGTTGGTCAACTCCCGGTGTAACATTTACTGTTTAGGTAAGGGCAAGCACAACCTATCACTCGACTTCCACGCTAACACGTCACACCTCAACCAAGAGTCAGAGAGGTGGTGTGTGTGTGTGATCTCTGTCGACATTATTGAACATGGATCTTGAGATGTTTCTAAACAACCTGTAAGTAGCGTCTCGGGCACCCCCCTAAACAATCATTATCTACCCATAAGAGGTTGAACATTTGGACACACGCCCTTGTCTTAATTAAACACAATTCACGTAACAAATAAAAATTTTCAGCGTGCCACCTTTGTTGATTTCGATAGTACGCGTCCCACGAGGCAGTCCAGTTGAAATAAATGTATATACAATAGATCCATCTGAGCCTGAAGGCCAATTATACTCTAGTATTGTACTCACATTTTTGCGATGATTGTGTAGACTTCAGTAAAGTGTGTACGGTTCGAGGACTGGACTGGTATTGGGGATTGCTGGCTCGGTTCGAGGTGTCGCGACGCTCTTATATACCCGAGACAGCGCGATCTTTCAGTTGCCAGCCCACGCGGATATACATCTTCAAGGACCGTACAACTACATTCCAAAATAGGGATTAATGTCTTATTTTACCACAAATTTAAGAAGTATCTTATTAATAGGAATGTACAGTATATAGTAAGTTTCCGGTGAGACTTTGCTGGACACCCTAATAATGAGTAGAATGAACGAACACTACTGTCACGTAATTCAGACGATGGCAACTGCTGGATTATGTTGCAACATCCACACAGGTCTATCTGTGTTGACCCCTACACTACTTGACTTACCTCTGCTGGCTTTGTCTGTCACTACGTGTCTTTTTCTGTGTAGCTACCTGTCTGTCCGTATATCTATCTGTCTGTCTGTGTATATATTTACCTTTTTGTCTGTTTGTCCGTCTGTCTGTGTCGTTATCTACCAGTTTGTGTCTATGCCCCTACCTGTCGTGTGTATATGTAATAATCATGTAAGAATAATAATAAATATTAATGGTTTATTGAGAAGAAAAAAAAAACATGGCAGCTAGAGGGCTGAAAATATACAGTTAATAGTGATGATGAAAATTTGGGAATGGATCACTTAATTGCCAAATAATATAAAAATAACATGAGTAAAAATATGATATATTAACAAGGGGGCGGGGGATTTAACGTGGAATTTAGCATAGTAACAAAAGTGGTTGGGACTGGACTGTTTTTATAGCAATCGGTATGTGCTCGTATCGACTGGATGCGGTTGTGTCGAATAGCTATTCTTGGACAAGGGCTCTCGGGTGGGAGCAGGAGCTGGTGTCGAGGATGGTGCAGAAGCTTCTCACCAAACTTATAGATGAGGTCCTGACGATCATCAAAGAGAGCTCAGAGGGTCAGGGTGTTGCCTGCCTGCATGTCTGTCTGTGTGTATCAGTCTGCTTGTGTCTGTGTACCTGCTTGTGTGTGTGTGTAATAATAATAATAATAATAATAATAATAATAATAATAATAATAATAATAATAATAATAATAATTAACGGTTTATTGAAAGAGCTTGGCAGCCAGAAGGCTGAAAATATACAGTTACATATTTGGGGAATGGGTTTCGAATTATAAATAATATACAAGTAACATAAGTGATACAAATAAGATATATAATAACTAGATGGGGAAAAGCTCAAACTACAGTGCATTTCAACATAGTGACAGTGCAAGAAGTAGTATTTACTGGGAGTGAATACACTGGTTTATTACAAGTTATTGATAATTTTTACAATGGTTGGGACTGGGCTGTTCTTATAGCTATCAGTTCGTTCATGTATGGGCTGGATGCGGTTGTGGTGTCGAACAGCAATTCTCGGGCTAGGGATCACAGGTGGTAGTAGGAGCCGGTGTCGAGGATGGTGTAAAGCTTCTTACCAAATTTGCAGATGAGGTCGTGGTGATGGTCAGTGAGAGTCGAAAGGGTCAGTGTGTTGAGCGCTTCTTGATATGTGGAGTAGGAAGGGGAGAGAATAATCTTGCATGCCCTCTTTTGCACTTTTTCTAGGTGTTTACGTTGTGTGGCATTTAGGGAGGAAGACCAGGTGGGGGAGGCATAGGTGAGCTTGGGTAGTATGAATGTTGTGTAAACACTGTGTGTGTGTGTGTATATCTCTTGCTGTATTTCAATGTCTATATGTTAGTACCCCTCTCTGTTTGTATCTGCCTGTAAATCTGTTTGTCTTCTATTTTACCTTTCTGTCCTGTTTATGAAAATTTTGACTTAAAAACCATGTCATTGATATGTTGCCTCTGAAACCTAATTAGAAACCCTAGTCACTTGACTCTTGAACCTAATTCTTCCATGCCAAATATATATTTATTTAAATATTTTATTTATTTTTACTAATAAATACGATCATGTCTGGGTTGGACTTGGTAACAGACACGATCCTGAGGGTAAACTGTGGGAGGGTTAAAAAAGGTGAATCCCTTGACCGTTTTATGAAAGTAGGCCGTGTTTGTCCTGTGCTTCCTAAAAGTAACACTGCGTCTTCCCGATTTTTTATTTTTATTTATTTATTTTGAGAGAGAGAGAGAGAGAGAGAGAGAGAGAGAGAGAGCGAGAGAGAGAGAGTGAGTTTCCCTAAATTCAGTGGGTCAGCTTTGATACGTGAGTAAATATTAAGTGAAGACGACAGTCAATGTCTTCTACATTTTAGATCATTCAATATAATAATGTCACTAGTATATACTGATATAAATAATAGTATTTCTGTTTTTATTGATAATGTAATTTTTACCCATATTATGAAAAATAGCTTATATACCCTTGCTAGTAAAGGTAAGAACAGTCACCAGCCTCGACGTCAACTAAATTTCCTGTAGGTATCTTGAAACCGTCCCTCTACAAAAACTCGTGGGAGACTTATTTGACTCATTTCAAGGCCAACAAGTGTTGGTTGAGGGAAGAAAGGCGCACCCGCAGCCGCCCCTCTCCTGTTTGCCTGGTTGACTCCCTCTCTCACCAAGGAAGTGATCATCTTAACAAAGCAATAGTAATGATAACATTTTATTATTGGATGGTCTAATAACAGGAAGAATTCTGACTAGAGATTACCCCTATCCTTTTGTATTTGTAACAACTGATTTTTTGTGTGTGTACCATCTGGACAGTGTTGTGAGTGTGAATCAGTTCCAAAATTACAGTGGTGGACGCCAGTTTCATCATCCCAGAGCTCTTCAATACACAACTGCAAACGGATAAGAGTTACCGGCTTATGGAGGGTTCCTTTTGTACGGACGTATCGAACAACAGTTTATATTAAAAGAATACCAGGGATGAATCATTGCCCATTGCTTAAATGATATTAATGTGTATATCCTGAAGAGAAAGTCAAAGACATTTATACCATGTATCCCACACCCAGATAAACGTTAGGTACACTACACTACCTACAGCTTGTATAAGTAAATGATCATATATCCATAAACCCAAATCGGGCCTGTCTTACCAGGAGTCATACACTGAGGTGGATGTGTACGGGAACTAGAATATAAGAGGAAGTTCATGAAGTCGCGGTAGTTCCTTCTTCCTCACTAAGTTACAGGTGAAGGTAAGGCTCTCTCTCCTTCCCTTCCCCCTTCTCTCCCTCCACCATTTCCTCTCCTGTCGTACCTCCTGGCTGTTTACTTCCTTATACGTATCTTCTGTTCAATAAACCTCAAAAGTTATATAGATAGTTATTCTTTAGAAGATTAATCCCGAAAACTTTATAAACCTCACCTGACCCACAACGTCTGGTGGTGACACGACTCATATGATGGACCCCCCCCTTTGTTCTCTCGTGTGTGTGTGTGTGAGACTATGAACAGCACCTAGGGGCAGGGCGCTGAGTGGCTCGCTGACCTTCACTGAAGCATAGTATTCGTGGTCCTTCAGCGTGTTATTACGGTTGATTATGGTCACTTGATAAGTTAGGTAAGACGTCAACTAGAAGTTTCAAACCCGTAGACAAGTTATAGTGGAATAAAGTTAACGAGAGTTAAGTAGACAGATAACAATTAATTATGGTGGAAGGTAGGTAAAACTAACACTGATAGTTTTCTTATTATACTTAAAATGATTATTTATACAAGACCTAGACGCAGTCATAACTTAACATAAGGATCTTTACCGGATAATCACACATGATCAGGTAGGGTTAACATAAGTAAGACCACATAAGACTGACTGAGGTAGTACCTGCATATTAGCACCCAGATAATGATTCACTTCAATTCTAATGATATTCCCACTTATTTGACGACAGTATCATATACATTAGGTATAAAAGTAAATGACATTATGTGAGGCACGTTTTGTTTCGTCACTGGTTGATCGGCGTTTCTCAGTACACTGATATAACTAAGGCTGGACAAGACCTCTAAGACAAAGTTTGAGAGATAGACCTAAGGTGTTAGATGAGCCGATTAATTGTGTTGTCTGGGCAAGTATGTTTACTCCCAGCCAATCTTACCTTTGCACTGTTACTATGTTGAAATGCCCTGTAGTATAACCTTCTCCCCACCTTGTTATTATATATCATATTTATTTCACTTATGTTACGTGTATATTATCAATCAAGTGATCCATTTTCCAATTATGTAACTTTTTTTTTTCCCTTTGGCTGCCATGTTCTTTCAATAAACCTTTGATTATTATTACTTAGGCCAGCGGGGACCATAGCACCGGAGAGATGAACCCTCGACAAAGGTATTTTTTATCGTAAGCCAGAAAGGTGGGAGAGTGAATGTGCTCCTCCGCCATGCATGGGCTTATAAAACCTCGTATGGGCCAGGTTGTCGGCTTTCCGCGAGTAGGTTCGTGTGCCAGTGGAATTTTCGTGAGCGACATGATGATGCTGAGTGTGCATAATTACTATTACAGAGGGTGTCCTGCTGTCTACCCACCACCCACTAACCCACCACTCACAAGTGCCCTGATCATGTATATTCTGACACACAAGTATGATGATTATACCCAGAGGTCTGTCCCCACACACTTGGATTACGCAGTTCAATTCTGGTAACCGTATTACAGAATGGATATAGAATCCTTGGAAAGAATTCAGAGGAGAATGACAAGACTAACCCCGGGCATTAGGAACCTTGAGTACAGAGACAGGTTAAAGCATCTTAATTTGCACTCCCTCCAGAGACGTAGAGTGAGGGGCGACATGATCGAGGTGTATAAATGGAAGTCAGGGCTTAACAAAGGGGACATTACAAAGGTACTCAAACTATCCAACCAGGAGCGAACTCGTAAGAATGGTTTTAAATTAGACAAATTTAGATTTAGGCACGAAATAGGTAAACAGTGGTTTGGAAATAGAGTAGTGGACGACTGGAACAAGTTACCAATTATCATCATTAACTCGAATACGCTGGATAGCTGCAAACATAGGTTGGATGGATATATGAGCAATAGGGGTTGGGTGTAAATGGGACTGCCCAGTATGGGCCAATAGGCCCGCTGCAGTTTCCTCCATTCTTATGTTCTTATGTAACTGTCTCTCCCACGCTGTGTGTCACTTCTACAACCATCTTTTCCAAGGAATGTACCACAATCTTCACCATCTGTCACACAGTGTGTCATCGGCTCCGCTGCATGTTAACAGTGCTGTGTGCACCAACTCCTGGAATAGAGGCACCCCCACTATTTGGTCCACAGTGTAGTGGTGCTACTGCTATTCTTATTGAAAAGTAGTGCACAACTGCTACCTTCACCACCATCGTCGCTTTTGTAATAATCATTTCGTACGTATAATTTGTGCAAAAAAAAAAAGCACCAATGGTTACCTGAACCTGCGCAAAGTCACAACAAAGACAGATTATTCCAAGAGTTCCAAACTCTCTCATTTTCTTAACTTTTAGACAGAGGGGTGTTCAACTGTTCCAGCAGTAACCACCTACCATGGTGGGCATTTCTATCGTGAAGAACACTAGGCACGATGCTCTGAACAAACAAGTGAAGTGATAAAGAGGGTAGACGAGGAGCTGGTCTTGGTATTGCCTGCCATTGTGGATGGCGAATAAATGACGTAATATTAATGAGGGTGAGGTTGTTTGTTGGCAGCTCGCCCGGCAACACACTCCTTCCCGGGAAAACCCATAAGTTTTGAGGCTGCGGGAGGTATTATGCTCCTAGTATTATCGGTTGTAGTATGATACCCTACACTAATCCTGTTTAACATGGTATAGGGATTCAAAGGAACGAACCAAGGTCCATCGACCCAGAGGATGATACAGAAAGAGGTGCTTGTCCGTCTGTCTGTCGTTGGTCAAGTTCTCGGGTGGAGCTCACTGTATCACTCAAACTTTACACCAACTCTCTCTCTCTCCACCTACCGTAATGATGCGCAACTCTTGTGGTTCGAAAAATATTAAACACACAAGAATGGCTTAAGAGAGATAAAAAAACTATGACAATTATTAATGTTACACGAAGCTGAGACAGACAATGTGAACCTGTTTATGGGGCTTATTTGGATACCGGGATTTGCTTTGCATGATTTCGTTGAGTGCCTCCCCCCCTCCTCCCGGCAGTCACAGGTACTCCCCACCGGTATATTCCTTGTATGTAAACCAGTAAATTAGAATAGGATTTATCTCACATGCTTTCTATTTTCAGGGTCATGTCTGAGGGTAAGTCGGTCATATTATGGACGTTGCTGTTATTAACTGAGTAATTTGATGACACACTTGAGACGTTTTAGACTCAACATTGTACGGGTACTTCTTACTTAGTAAACACACTGATCTTTAACTCTCCGTGACACTAGCCTAACCTAACCTGGCCTAACCTAACCTAACCTAACCTAACCTAACCTGAGTGTTGTGAGTAAGAGATTACCTGAAGATTAGACACCAAACCTTATTTATCCTCAAGATTAACCACACAAACGCTAACCTAACCTAACCTAACCTAACCTAAGCCAACTCTTTCACTTTAAGAATAGCCAGCCTAATGCTACTACTACTACTTGGAATCGAGTATGACGATCACCCAGCTATGATACGATGATATGAGTTATTAGGGATGTCACCTTCATTGGTGAGTTTTAAGGTGACTAAAGAGGCCGATACGGGACCGGCAGAGTTGTTCACAGATGTTGTACATGTGGAGGGCTGCCTCTAGTACGGGAGGGGCGGTGGCAACGTCTTTACGGCGTTGGCGCTTGTCTGCCTCGGTATGCATTCGGGCTAACTCGAAAGTATTGACGCCTTCTCGTGTGGTGCTGCTCCAAGCGTTACGGTGTGGAGTGATAGACCCGATTTGGCTCTTTATCAGGTTTGTCTAAAGACTATCCTTATACCTTTTCCGTTGTCCGCCAGCGTTACGTTTACTATTCGTTAGGTGACTGTAAAGTAGTTGCTTTGGCAATCTACTGTCGTCCATGCGGGTCCTAACATCACCTGAGGTGGTGGTTGAGTGGTGAATGTGTGGCGTTTCACTACAATTGCACAAAGACTTAATGTACAGACCTGTTATGTATAGTACTATTATGTGTGGATTTATATCAACTTTTCTGTTTTTTCCTCCACGTATCTTTACTGGGCAAGGTAGTGTACGGTCACCTTTGTACAGACGTATCCAGTTAGTTTTCTGCTTGTGGTCATATTGTTTACATATCAACCTCCGTACTCACACCCACCTGTCAATTTTGCCGAAATCTTGTTCCGATTGTGAGATACAAGGTGAGCTATACCTTTCACTAACTTTTATCAGTGACGTGATAGTTGAACGTCAGGTAGAGTGTTGTTGTATTTGTCTGATACATCGTGTTGTAGAGGGGCGTCTTTAGCGGGTCCTTTTCATAGGGCAGTGTTGAGATTCCCGCCTGTGTACCTTCAGTGTTCTTGTTCCTGTTTCTTTATACTAATTTAACTGCTCTCTTAGTATGGCCACACTTACTGTACAAAGTGTTCAAGGAAGGATTTCTTTGAGGGAACACTACGATACTTTAAAAAATTCAATTACTACATGTTTAAACCAATATTTTTGCTGTCTGGCTACACCATGCCTTCATATTATCTTCCTCCGAGATAATCGTAGACACCGGTGTGTTGGTTATAAGCGTGTGTGTGAAGGTGTTAAAACAGCTGAGTCATCTCTCCACCGCTGGAGGATTGAGGCTTCCCACTTTCATTCTGAGTTGCCTCCTACAACATTTTTCTCACACAACTTACGTGTCTAAAATTATTTTTAACAGATTAATTTAAATGTTCTAACTATGAAAACAACCTGAGAAGCATAACGTTGACACTGTTAGAGGTTGTAGGGCGTGGTGGTGTGTCAGGTGGCCGTGAGAGCACTCTGGTGGTCAGATAACACTGACTCACGAATGTTTACTCACCAACCTAACACTGTCATGAGCGAGGCCAGGTAACGTTGGTAAATATAGTATAATAGTAGAAAGGCGTTCAACATACACACACCACCTCCCTTCCAGCGTACAGGTGTGTTCTACTCCTGTTAATGTTGTTGCTTCACATTCGAGACTTTTCTGATAGTGGACGTTTTATTATTATTATTATTATCATTATTATTATTATTATTATTATTATTATTATTATTATTATTATTATTATTATTATTATTATTATTATTATTATTATTATTATTATTATTATTATTATTATTATTATTATTATTATTATTATTATTATTATTATTATTATTATTATTATTATTTGGGCACCCCCCTACATCCTTGTGTAAGGTGAAGCGCAGACGCGTTTACAGCGGCCAACAGGGAAGCATGCTAAGTTCATGCTTGCCTTTATGTCTCATGAGTTAAGGGCGTAGCAGCCTGATGAGTCAAGGGCGAAGAAGCCTGAAGAGTCAATGGTTTATGTCATTAAGTTATTGGAAGCTCCATCAACTTCCTTAATACGAATTCGCAACTTTCGATTTACAACAGGTACCACCTACTTTACTGATTGGTGAACAGGGACTAATGGGGGCTAGGGCGTGTTCTGGCAAGTACTCAGCCCTTGATCTCTCACTGTCGAGGGCTCTCTCGTGCACTCACTGACTGAGGATAAGTGAAATGTGACAGCAAGGACACAGGGCAACATTAATGCTCTCCACGAAAAGAGAATCGAAGGCGTTCACAAGAATTAATGTCTGAGGTCCTTGGTCTATCTGATGTCCCTTTATTTAAGTTGTGAACCTAACCTAACCTTCCGAAAGTTAATCTGTTGACATAATTTTTTTTGGACATGATATCCTTTCAACCACGCCATTCCATTTAATTGAAACATTTAACTGTTTAGTTCTGGAGACAGTTTTCCTGTACTAAGTAGCTCGTGAAGAATCTCAACCACATGTCAATTATTTGTTTCAGGAATGAAGGCTTGTGGTACCTCATTAATGGATTTTGGAAATTGTTCTAAATTTCTTGGCGATTTATGTACTAGAAAAATCATATACCAGTATAAATTTTTTCAGAAATTTTCAGGAATAAAAGTCATTACTAGCTGAAATATTCTCGAGGAAATTATTGACTTTAGAGTCTAGTGAGTTCTTTTTATCATGATAACTGCCTCAAAAAATATAGTGTTTATATAATGGGTTCAACAAATGCTTGTATCTAACACTGGTTTGTTCTTTACAGGATGAGACAACAGTACAAGGTAAGTAATCACTGTTAGTTTCAGAGATGTGAGGTCGTATTATAATAAAGTGCAGTTTTAAAATATACCCATTCAAAGTCATAAATAGTTCCAGGGATTGAAAATATAATAATGCAATATTTGAGTTTCCTTTGAAATAAAACATAAAATAAATGAAATGAGTAAACGTAGCAGTATCATTCAGAATTTCATAAAGTGAGGATGGACTTAAAATAACGAGACTTGCTTTATCCGG